GTCATGCGTGACGGTGGCCCCACACCCCTGTGAACCCCGGGCCCCTCCTGTTGAAACCCCCTGCCGCCCAGCAGACCACCCGCTCTCAGATGCGGGATGCCGTGACGCTAGCCTGCACTCGGGTCCTGCTGCCCCGTGCCCCCGCCCCCGCCCGGCTCTGCGATGGAGGCAGGGAACCCCACCAGACGCCATGCGAACCCTGTGCGAACCGCAGGCCTCGTCTCCGCCCCCAGGACCTGGGCCGTCCCCGGGCGGGCGCCCTGTGCTGCGGCGGCAGGCGCGGGTGGGCTGCGGCCCGGACGCTGTGGCCGAGGACCCGTGGGCCCGCATCTCCGGCTGCATCAGGAGCCTGTTCAGCCCCGTCATGAGCGAGGGCCACGCACCGCTGCTGCCCGCCGCCCGCCTCAGCCTCGTGGAGGACGGGGAGCAGGGCCGCCCGGACGGGCTCTCCCCGAAGCTGGACGCTGGCCCCGGCGCTCCCAACGCTCACAAGCCAGGAGACCACAGCACCGTGAAGAAGGGCCCTCCCGTGGCCCCCAAGCCCGCCTGGTTCCGCCAGAGCTTGAAAGAGCTGGGGCATGTCGGTGCAGAGCCCAGGCAACGGCCGGCGGCCCCCTCCTCGAAACCCACGCCGGCCCCCAGGGAGCGCCTGGGGCCGCCCGCCCGGGCCTCCAGCTCCCTCAGGCAGAGAATCAGCTCCTTTGAGACCTTCTGTTCCCCGCAGCCGCCCGACAGAGGGGCCCCAAGACCGGGCCTACAGCCCCCCAGCTCCTCTGTGGAGGCGGTGAACGCCCCGGGGAAGCAGGGAGGGGGCTGGGCTCCTGGCCGCCTGGGGCAAGGGGCTCCCCCCGCGGGGGGGCAGCTGCAGCCCCAGCCAGAGCCAGAGTCCCCTGGCTCCCTGGTGGCCCCAGAGGCCAGTGAGCCCACTGGAGCCCCGGGTGTGTCGGGGACCCCACCCCTGGGGCGGCTGCCCGCCCAGACGGCGCCCCCCGAGACAGCCCCCAAACCTGACCCTCCCCCGAGCCGGCTGCCCGCCCAGACCGCGGGGTCACTGGGCACCGCCGTCAAGATGCCCAGCCAGCGGGCGCGCAGCTTCCCGCTGACCAGGACGCGGTCCTGCGAGGCGCAGCTGCCCGACGACCGGGCCTGCAGGCTCTACGCCATCAGCAGCCAGGTGTCCTCGGCCGTCATGAAGTCCCTGCTGTGCCTGCCCTCTTCCGTCTCCTGCGGCCAGACGCCCGGCAGCCCTGAGGAGGGGGCGTCCGCAGGGTCCCCGTCCAGCCCAGACCCCGCTGCCGGCAGCGCTGACTCGGGGTTCTCGCTCAAGTGAGTGTCGGCGCCCGCCCTCCCCCGAAGACAGGACAGCCCCCTCTCGTCCCTCGGTCTGGGGGGGCCGGGACGGCCTCTCACCCGCCGGCTGGGCCCGCTGCGGCTCAGGAGGCCCGCGCGGTGCCACGCCGGGACCCCTCAGGAATTCTGCTGCCCCCCCCCGACACGTGGGTTCGTCCCCCTGGACACGGACAGCTGGGCCCCGGCCACGGCACGGCCTCACTGACCACGACACGGCCTCACTGACCACGACAGGCTCCTTCCGGACTCGCCCCCACCTCCTCCCCGGTGGTTCCGCACGAGTGCGGGGCCCCGCCCAGCGTAGTGCTGTGGGCCAGAGGAGCGGTCCCGCCACCAAAGCCGTGGTTTCACCCCAGACACGAAGGGAGCCTGCAACACAGCCAGGCACCGAAATGCGTTCCCCAGGGCACGGAGCGCCGGCCACGTGGGCACCCTCGTAGTGGGGGGGAGGGGACACACGTCCGACTCTCGGTGACACGCTCCACCACGGGCCCCGGTCAAGCGCCCGCCGCCCCGAGGCCCGGCAGGGACGCCGCAGACACCACTCGGCGTCTCGCCGACTCCCACCCACCTGTGCCGCTTCTCCCGCGACAGCCTCTCGGAGCTGCGCGAGTGCGCGGAGGCCGAGGACGGCGCCCCCACGCCCGGCCAGTCGGTCATCTCCCTGCTGAGCGCGGAGGAGCTGAAGCAGCTCATCGAGGAGGTGAAGGTTCTGGACGAGGCGACGCTGAAGGTGGGTCTCCGCCGCGGAGCACGCTCCCCGAGGCGAAGGCCCCGGGGGAGCCGCCGAGTCACCCCAGGCCCTGGTGGCTGCAGCGGGTGCCGCCCGTGGGGGTGGAGGGGACGGTCTCACGGAGCCACGGGGTGGGGGGGCCCTCCCTGGGGAGGGAGCTTCGTAGCTTCAAAAAGCTGTCGGTCGCTGGCTCCTGAGGGCCTTTCGGTCCTGTCGACGGGGCGAGGCTCCCCTGGGCGGCGCTGCTTCCTGTCCCACGTGCTCCCGCCGGTGCGTCCCCAGGAGGCGCCGAGGAGTGTGGGCTCTCACCTGGGACTTCCTCTGCAGAGGGGGGACGGCCCCGGGCCCCAGTCATCCTGAGAGCCCCACTTCCCGTGCCCTGAGCACAGCTCGGAGCGGCGAGAGGGGAAGTGGCCGCCCGTCGCGGACGGGCCCAGGCTGCGGGGCCGCAGGCAGTCCGCAGGGAAACCGTCCGGGCCCGGACGGAGCTGCGCTCCCAGCTCAGGGGCCGGGCCAGTGCTGGGGCGGAGGAGGCCGGCGGGGAGGCCCACCCACGCGTCCCTTGCAAGTCTGGGGCCTGGGGACGCGCCGTCAGAGGGCTGCTCCCGCCGGGTCCCGGGGACCTTGGAAACAGTGTGCAGACGTCACAGGCTCCCGGCTTCTCTTCGGATGGAAAACGCCTGCCGGCCCCGGGTCTGCCCCCCGCGCGGCAGCTGGTCCTCACGGGGCCCGAGCTCTCGGCCCGTCCTCAGGGCCTGCCACGCCCGTCTCACCTCGGTCCCTCCTGCTGGCGTGTCCGCGCCAGCCTGGACAGAGAGCAGAGCGGGCCTCCGGCTTCCTGCAGGGGCCGTGCTGGCGCGTGCCCGGGCGCTCGTGGGCCTGCAGGCCGCGGGCACGCCTGCGCACGTGTGTGTGGGGCAGGAGCTCAGCCCGGCTCCCGGGGGGAGAGAAGGGGCAGCCAGGTCTCCGACGGGGTCGGGCGGACGCCCGCACTCGCTGCACTGCGGGCGCTGCTGCGAGGGAGCGCTCCCCACCGTCCACTTCCTCCTGCAGCAACTGGACAGCATCCACGTCACTGTCCTGCACAAGGAGGAGGGGGCCGGCCTCGGCTTCAGCCTGGCTGGGGGCTCCGACCTGGAGAACAAGGTGGTCACGGTGAGTGGCCGGGGACGGGGCCTGTGTGGGCGACGAGGGGACCCCAGGCCGCTGGGCGGGCACTCGGGGCAGGGGCTGCGAGGGGAGCTTGAACGTGCTGCGCTCGAATCGCCCCGAAACCACCCCCCGCAGCCCGGTCCCTGGAAAAACCGTCTTCCACGGAACCGGGCCCCGGTGCCAGCAAGGCCGGGCCGGGGACGCTGCTGGCAAGGATACCTGGGTCCCGGGTGGGCGGCAGAAGCAGTCACAGGGGTCTCGGCCTCACCCTGGAGCTGCAGGCTCGGACCTCGCCTCACCTGTGTGCGCTGACCTCGCAGACGGGTGACCGGGGGCCTGGGGAAGGCAGGTCCTGGAGAGGCGGCTGCCGTCCCGGTCTCGCCCACGGGGAGGGCGGGGAGTGAACCTGGGCAGGGCGACCCCTCTGCCTCGGGAACCCTGTTGGGGAGGTGCTGCGCCAGAACAGGCGCCTTGAGGACCTCTCCTGCCGGCTGCCAGGGGCTGCAGCCCCCAGAGTCTGAGACCCGGGGCTGGGGGGACTCTGGGGGCCACCGTGTCCACCACTGTCACCATCTCTGTGTGGGTGGGGGCGGAGGGACACGGTCACCTCCTTCCCTTTGGCCCAGGAGCCAGCGCGCGGCCCCCAACCCCTGACCCCCAGCGAGGGTCTCGATTGGACGCGGGTGCTGCCCGAGCGCTGACCTCCGGCGCCTCCTCAGGTCCACAGAGTGTTCCCCAACGGGCTGGCCTCCCAGGAGGGGACCATCCAGAAGGGCAACGAGGTCCTGTCCATCAACGGCAAGTCCCTCAAAGGGGCCACCCACAACGACGCGCTGGCCATCCTCCGCCAGGCGCGGGACCCCCGGCAGGCTGTGATCGTCACCAAGAGGCCGGCGCCCGAGGCCGCGCCCGACCCGGACTCCTCTGAGGACCCTGCGGCCTTGGCCCCTGGGGCCAGTGACGCCTCCGCAGACTCCAGTGAGTTCTCCCCACGCGGTGGGAGCCCCGGGTGCTGCTCAGCTGCGGGCGGAGATGCACGTCTGTGCTGGGACCCCCGCGCTAGCACCTACCCGTCCTCTGAGCCACGGGCGCGTGGCCTGAGGAGCAGCACCGCCCTGACAGAGCCCATCCCCCCCCCCCCCCTGCAGCAGAGGCCACGGTCCACGCGGTGACGCTGGAGAAGACCTCGGCGGGGCTGGGCTTCAGCCTGGAAGGGGGGAGGGGCTCCCTGCTCGGGGACAAGCCTCTCACCGTCAACCGGATCTTCAAAGGTACGCTCCTGCGCAATGTCCTTGCTCCCCAGCGGGGGGTGTGGGGGGAGACTGGCCTTGCTCTCCGTCACCCACACGCCCTGCACCTCCTTGTCCCCCCTCCCAGGGGCCGCCCCGGGGCAGACGGAGACGGTCCAGCCCGGAGACGAGATCGTGCACTTGGCCGACACGGCCGTGCAGGGACTCACGCGGTTCGAGGCCTGGAGCGTCATCAAAGCGCTGCCCGACGGGCCGGTCACAGTTCTCATCCGGAGGAGGAGCCCACGGCCCCAGGGGGCCCCGGCCGCAGGAGACCCCTAGGCGGGGCGCGGACAGCAGAGCCAGCCACACACACACATTCTCAGGGTCACAGCTCACCCCGCCCGGGGCTGCTGCCCAGGCCCGACTTCTGGGACCAGCCCCGGGGCTGTCCCGACGGGGACGGGGGGGCCGTAGTGGGGGGCCGACGTGAACGGCGGGCCGTGTACAGACAGCTCAGTGCAAGCCGGCGGTGCTTCAAATAAAGTGAATGTATTGTGACCGGACAGGAAGCCCACGCCCCGTTTGCACACCTTCCGAGGGCTGTAACTGCGCGGCGACCCCCAGACGAACAGCCTCGCTGCCTCGTAGGAGTCCGCAGCGTGGCCGGCAGGGCTCGGGGCAGCACCTGCTGGAGCTGCGCCACGGCCTCGGGCTGGAAGCTCGGGCAGGCCGCTCACTCACACGGCCGGCGGTGCACACGGGGCCTCTCCCCGCAGCCTGGGCTCCGACCACACGCGTGTCCCAGAAAGGCCAGGGCTCGGGGGCCCACGGGCCTGGTCACTGGAGCGGCGGCACCACGTCCCGGGTGCCCTCTCTGGGAGCTGGCATACACCTGCCCGGGGGGGGGGGGGTGGAGGGAAAGGGAGGGGAGTCATTCCTGGGGCCGGTGGGGAAAATACCGGCCGTCACCCAGATCGGAGCCGCACTGACCTCAGCGCGCTCTGGAGGTTGGCGTAGAACCCGGCCATGCTGCGCGGGAAGAAGGCGTCCACCACGCTCCGCGGGAGGAGGCCGCTCAGGTCCGTCTGGAAGAAGGTCACCACCTTGGTCCTGCTGGGCTCCCTGCGTGGCGGCGGCAGAGCGGGGTCACGCGTCTGCAGAGGGCCCGGGGCTGCGCACAGGGCTACACACGGGGCGGGCCGAGGGTGGCCAGCCAGAAGGGACGGCGGGCACCCAGGGATGCCACTGCCCGGGGGTGCGGACTTCCCCACACCGGGCCGGCAGCAGGCAGCCGCCCCCTCCCGCCCAGGAAGACCGTGGATTCCCTGCCCTGGGCTCTGGGGGGCCTGGGAGCAACAAGGGCAGCGGTTCTGCACGGTCTGGGGAGTCCCGGGGGCTCTGCAAGGTCAGAACCACGTTCAGAGCAGCCCCGAGAGGCCGTCGGCCTCCGTCACTCTCACACGCTCCCCAGCACACGGGGCGGCCCCCGCGGCCACAGGACGGGCAGGGACAGACGCGACCTTCCCTGAGCCCGGCATCCGGGAGACTGGCAAACATACAGCAACGGCCCTCCCTCCACCGGTTTTTTGTTTGAAAAAAGTTTTTTCATGAAAATATCTGTTCATACGTAATTTGTTATATAAAATATTTTTTAAATTTTCTTTTATTAACTTCAGACATAGCAAATATTGATGGGTATAACCCACATTAAAAAGCCCTTTAAGATCCTGAAAAATATTTAGAAATATCGTATCTTTTTACACACCCAAAACAAACTATCTGAACAAGAAATGAGGAAAAACAATCCCACTTACAACCACGACAGAAAGAACAAAACACCCAGGAACAAACTCAACCAAGGAGGCTAACACCTGCACTTGGAAAACCCCGAGACACCGAAGAAAGGACCGGAAGACACGCATGAACGGAACCGCACACACCGCGCCCACGGGTCCCAGAGCCGAGACCATTGAAACGTCCGTGCCTCCCAACGCACTCTGTGCGTTCGGCACGCTTGCCGTCAAAGCGCCAACGGCGTGTTTCACTCACAGGGCTGGAACAGACGTTCCCAACATGCGCGCAGAACCACAGACACCCCGAGTGGCCCCAGCAGTCCCGAGCCGGACGTGCCACAGCCCCCGACAGTGACCTGCGCTGCGAGGCCCCAGCGGTCAGGGCAGCTCGGCACCGGCCCGGGAGCAGACGCAGGTCGGCGGACGGGACCGAGAGCCCAGAAACAAGCCCACCCTCTCAGGGCCAGTGGACGTCCGGCCCCGGAGGCAGGCACAGGCGACGGGGCGCAGACCGTCCATCCGACAAGTCGCGAGGACTGCGGACGTGCAGGCAGCGCAGACGGGCCCCGTGGCTCCTCTCAGGGGGTCCGTCCGGGCGAGGGGCAGAAGCCCAGGGGAGGCAGGAGCACGGCACACGGAGCGACCCGGGCTGCACGCGGTGGCCTCGGGCTCGGGGCAGTGAGGGCGGGCACGGGACAGCCCCTGCCAGCCCCGGCTCAGGCTTAGCGAGGGGCGTGCCTGGGAGGACACAGGACACGGCTCGGTTGGGACTAGGGGTCCTCCCCGTCCCAGCCCTCCTGATGGCCTGAGCAACAAAGGGATGGGCCTTGTGGGCCTGTCTGGCTCTTTACTGGGAGACGTCACCAGGAACCAACCCCGGGCAGCACTGCACCTGCGCACCAGGCGTCCGCCGCCGTCTCGGAGCCCAGAGGCTCGGACGGGAGGCCTCGCAGCACCCCGTCCCTCCTGAGGCCCGGGGCTCAGCAGGCGCCCCGGGCAGGGCGCCCCACGCTGCTCCTGCCGGCTCCGCAGAGTGTGACCCCAGGGGGCAGGGACTTGCTTGAGCCCCAAAGCCTCAGCATCGCGCAGACTCTGTCCGCACTGCCCTGGCCTTCCCTCAGCTGCCCCTCCTCCACCGCAGGCTCGCTCACACCCTCCTCTCTCTCAGCAGCGTCCTCTCCCGCCTGGAGGAACCTTGCTCAGTGGCTGTGAGGTCCCCGGGGCGGGCAGGCAAGGGCCTCCTCGGTGGGTGTCACACACGGGCCAGGCTGAGTGTCCTGCCTGCACACCACTCACAGGCGGGGCACAACGGGGCTCAGGGTGGGGGAGCAGGGCCCAGCCTCCACGCAGAGAAGGCCGCCCGGGGCCGCAGCGCCCACACCGCCCACTCTAGGGGTCAGCCAGGCTGCCCGTGGGGAGCGCCCGGGTCACCTACCGGGCACCGAGCGAGGGCTGGAGCAGGCGCAGCACCACGCTGCTGCCTCTGCCTCTGGGGCCGGCAGGCTCCCTCCCCGCCTGGGGGAGGGCCCGACTCCGGCACCAGCCCCCTCCCCGTCCGTCCCCACTCTCTGACCCTCCTGCCCACACGCGTCACAGCACTCAACCCGAACCCCACCCCCACCTGCTCAGAACACGCCGGGGGCCTTGTCTTTACTGTGCCCGGGGCCTAACCACCTCCCCTACTTCGCCCACAGCCCACGCTGACCCAGGCGGCTCGGCGCTGGTCCATGAACACCCCACACCTCCCCACCCGAGGGGCTCCAGGCCCGCCCCTCCCTCTGCCAGGAACAGGTCAGGTTTGCAGTGTCAACCCGGGTGGCGCCTTGGATCAACCGGAGACCCTCAGGCTGTCCCTCTAGAGTCCGGGTCAGACCCTGGCTGCCAGCCCTGAGGACACCGAGACAGAACCTGCACCCCCCCCACCGCGAGCCGCAGCAGCTTCCTCCTCTGCCGGGCAGGGCTAGGTCCGTGCACAGCGGCCGGGGCTGGAGGAAGGACTCCCACAGCAGCGCCTCCCGCGCCCTGTCCCTTCTCCCACTCCGCTGTCCACGGTAGTGCCACCCGGCATCAGGGCCCGCAGCGCAGTGAGGCAAGGTGACCCCTGTGCCCCCGAACAGACTCCACCCTGGAGCCCCTCTCCGCCCCCCGGCCCAGGGGACCGCCCTTACCCTGGCACGGGCTCGCAGAAGCAGCCGCAGGGGTGGTTCTGTCCTCTCACGAAGCCAGGCCGCGGGGGGCACGACGGGTGCTCCAGGTGGGCAGCTAGGAGACAGGGCCCGTGGTGAGAAAGCCGCACCCACCCCCTGGAGCCCGAGGGGCCGGCGAGGGGGCCCTGAGCCGCCACGGCCCCACCCCAGCACCTCCCCACCACACACACACACACACACACACACACACACACACCCCCCCAAGAACAGCAGAGGAAAGAACATTCCGGAATTGTGACTACAAGGGCAGGAGGCGGCACCCTCTCAGGTCTCAGCCGGCAGACGCGTGGGGCGTGAATGTGCTGCCATCGGCTCCGCGGGGTGATTCACAGGCACCGTGGGCATGAGGCGGTGGGACTCGGGCCCTCCCCTCAGGCAGCCGCCCCCGCCCCCGAGTCTCCGGGCTCGGGAACCGCTGCGCCTGAGGTCCCGTGGAGCCAAACTGTCGCTCTCGAGTGTGGGCGCAGCCGCAGGCCGCAGCAGCAGCCGCCGAAGGGGTGCTGACCGCCCTGGGCCTTAGGAATGACCACCCTGGCACTGTCCCCTCCCCGAGCACCACGCACAGCGTCCCGAGGACCCAGAAGGCGAGCGGCACAGGGACGGGGGTCGGCCCCCCTGCGGGAGCGCACGGGTGCGGGCAGAGCCCACCCAGGGCCCTGGAGGCTCCGCGGCCGCCGGTGGCCACTCACCGTTGGAGCTGATGGTCCCGTCCTCGTACGTCCGGACCAGCACCAGGTCCACGAAGTCTCGGGGCGAAATGATCTTCATGGCAGCCGAGGGGGTGGTGGTTCTGGTGACGCACAGAGTCTGCCGAAGCCAAGGGGGTCCCGCTGAGTCAGCTTTGCCGGGGTTATTTTAATAAAATCACAGTCATATCTCAAGCTGGATTTCTCTCAACACTTAAAAGCCTCGTGGCCTTCCGGCCAAGATGGCGGCGGCCAAGAAGATGGCGGCCGCGTAGGTAGACACACTGTGCCTCCTCGCACAACCAAGATAGGGACAACGGCAACTTAGAAACAGAATAACACCCAGAACTGACAGAAAACTGAACTGTATGGAAGTCGGACAGCCAAGAAGTTGAAACAGACACGTTTGTCCAGACCGGTGGGAGGGGCGGTGTCCGGCGGCCGGGCGTAGAGGGGTCGAGGCACAAACAGCGTTGGGCCCGGGCACGTGAGGCATCCGGGGGCACAAGCCGAGGCTGGCAGACCCCGGCCCAGGGGTGGCAACCCACAGACCCAGCGAGGCGGCGACTGTGAAGCGAGTCACTGCGCGCAAGGCGGCTGGCTGACCGGGCGGTCTCAGGACCCCAGCGCCGGGAAAGAGCCTCGGGGCACTGATGGAAAACACCTGTGGGACTGAGGCGCCGGAGAGACGCCCAGCCTCACGGGAGAGTTCGCTGGAGAGACCCACGGGGTCCTAGGACATGCACAAGCCCACCCACCTGGGAATCAGCTCCAGAAGGGCCCAGTTTCCTTGGGGGAAACGGCGGAAAGGACTGAAGTCCGGCAGACAGCGGAGGAAGCGCCATTGTTCCCTCTCTGACCCCACCCCCACGTACAGCGTCACAACCCAGCGACTGGGGTGCCCCGCCCTGGAGAACACCTAAGGCTCCGCCCCTCATACGTAACAGGTACAACAAGACCACCAAAAAAGGCTCAAACAGAACAAATGAAAGCCCCAGAATCAATACTTTTAAGCGACCGACAAACAGCCAACCTATCAGATGCACAGTTCAAAGCACTAGTGATCAGGGTGCTCACAGAATTGGTTGAATTTGGTTGCAAATTAGATGAAAAAATGAAGGCTACGCTAAGTGAAATGAAGGAAAATGCACAGGGAACCAATAGCGGTGGAATGAAAGCTGGGTCTCACTGCATTGGAGTGGACCAGAAGGAAACAAATAGAAAAGAATGAAGAAATAAGAATTCAAAAAAAATGAGAAGAGGCTTAGGAACCTCCAGGACATCTTGAAATGTTCCCACATCCGAATTATAGGGGTACCTGAAGGAGAAGAGGGAGAGCAACAAGTGGAAAACTTATTTGAACAAATAATAAAGGAGAACGTCCCCAATCTGGCAAAGGAAATAGCCTTCCAGGAAGTCCAGGAAGCTCAGAGAGTCCCAAAGAAGTTGGACCCAAGGAGGAACACACCAGGGCACATCATAATCACATTACCCAAGATTAAAATGAAAGAGAGATTCCTAGAAGCAGCAAGAGATAAGGGGACAGTAACCTACAAAGGAGTTCCCATCAGACTGTCAGCTGATTTCTCAAAAGAGACCTTGCAGGCAAGAAGGGGCTGGAAAGAAGTATTCCAAGTCATGAAAGGCCAGGACCTCCATCCAAGACTGCTCTATCCAGGAAAGCTTTCATTTAGAATGGAAGGGCAGACAAAGTGCTTCTCAGATAAAGTCAAGTTAAAGGAGTTCAGCATCACCAAGCCCTTATTCTGTGAAATGTTAAAGGGACTTATCTAAGGAAAAGAGGATAAGAAAAATGTACAGTAAAATGACAGCAAACTCACAGTTATTACCAACCACACCTAAAACAAAAACAAACTAAGCAAACAACTAGAACAGGAACAGAACAACAGGAATGGAGATCCCATGGAGGGTTAGCAACAGGGGAGTGGGAGGAGGAGAGAGGGGGGAAAAGGTACAGAGAATAAGTAGCATGGATAGTAGGGAGAAAATAGGGGGAGGGCAAGAATAGTATGGGAAATGTAGAAGCTAAAGAACTTATGACACAAGGACATGAACTAAAGGGGGGGAATGTGGGTGGGAGGGGTGTGCAGGGTGGAGGGGAGTGAAGGAGGGTAATAGCACAACTGTAATAGCATAATCAATAAACTATATTAAAAAAATAAAGAGCCTCATGGTTACAGGAAATACATGAGTTTTAAAAATTTAGTTTCAATTTACATATATATTTATAACGCAAGATGATGGTTTTTAAAAATAAGTGTATTAGGATAAAATTCAGTGGGTTACATGGAATAAAAATTTGAGTTCCAGGCAAAAAAGGATACGACGTTTCTGAGTGAGGAGCATTGGCTCCTGCGTTGTGACAGTGAACGCTGGTAATACAGCGTCACGTTATTTTAGGTACAATCCTAAGACCGACGCCCTGTGTTCTCCCAAGTCGCCGGATGTGTCACATGTTAAAAATGACAGGCGTGGGAACTTCTGGTGAAACCTCAGGGGCCGCCTCCATGCCGGCCGCCACGCAGCGTGCGGGGATGGTGTGCAGGTTCTGGGAAACCCACCGGAGCTACGCGAGCAACGAGTCTGAAGTCCGCTGCCCTGGAGGACTCCCGGGGCCAGGCCCGGGGGCGCCGGGGCTGCCAGGGACGAGGGCCGGGGCAGCCGGGCTCGGGGACCCCACGCCATGAAGGAGGGCGACCCTGCACCGCACCCGCCAGACCCGCTGGCCAGTGGGCCAGGCGGCGAGGACAGCGGGCGAGCTGTCTGCGGGCCATGGGCTCCAGGAGGGAGTGGCAGCCAGGGAGCCACGAGGGAGCCTGTGGGGCCTCCAGGAGCCGGGCGGGACCAGGCAGGGGCTGGGGGGAGGCGGGGGTGACTGACAGGGAGGGAGGGAGCAGTCCGCTGTCAGCACCTGCTCTGCGCTCACAGCCTCTGGGTCCCGGGTGCCTCTCTTCACCTCCTGGAAGCCACCCCCCACCCACATCTGCCCGGGGTGAGGGCACAAGGTCGCAGTGAGGGACAGTGCCCGTTACTGTAACCGTGACTGCGGCCCCTCGGCCTCCTCACTGCAGCCCCCTGGGCCTCCTCTCAGGCCCCGCCGGTCTGAACACGCTGACAACTTTCACCTTCAAGAACATTCCACACACAGTCCTTGTGCTACTACATTTACATCCTGTCTGCAGAGCATCGGCCTGGACTGCACGCACCTGCACGGAATCAACTGGAAACCGTCTCCACAATTTTTTGGTATTGCCACCCTGGTAACTCGCCTGATGTTTTTATCTAAATGTGTTCGCTTTTTAGAACTTAAAGTTGTTTGAAAAGGATGCTATTTAACTGTTGGAAGTGGGGAAAAAGTATCACTTGGCAAAAATGAAAAGAAACTGCAAAACCTGTGCACGAGAAATTGTCAGGTTCTAACTGTAGCCCTGCGTCCGACTGAGGGCTGCCGTCTGGGTCGTGACGACGGAGGTGGGTGAGCGGCACACAGGTGGCAGACACCTCAGCACACACCTGAGACTCCCCTTCAGGTCGTCAGAGAGCCTGATGGAGAATGGGGTGGGGTGGTCTCCCGGTGCGACCCCATTCCGGTCTGGACCGCCGGACCCAGCCCTGGGGAAGCCAGGTGCCGGTCAGCGGGGGTGACGGGGAAATGCTGGCCAGCACTGCGAGCACCGGGACCCACTGGCTGAGCAGCCGGGCACCACCGCCCGAGGGTCCAGAGCTGTCCCAACCCCCCTCCACAGGGGACGGTCCAGGTGCGCGGGGCGGACAGAGTGTGGGAAGACCTACGTCGGTGATGCTCTCGACCACCTCGAAGCTGACCACGTTTTCATCCCACGTGGCGCGGAGGCTCCCCACGAGCGGCTTCACCAGGTCCCACACGCTCTCCGGCGCCCCATCCACGACGCCTTCCCCTCGGTACCTGCACACGACAGAGGGTGTGACCCCGGACGTCCCCCGTCAAACCCGCTTCCCCGGGGGCTGCCTGAGACCACCAGCTGGCAGGTCGGCCGCCGCTGTGCAGGTGGGCCCTGCGGTAGGGGCTGAGCCGACCAGCTCCCCTGCCCCGGCCTGCAGAAGCCGGTGGCAAGCTTCCCCGAGAATCCAGTTTGCTGGAAACGATGTGGTTAAAAACAGAAGCTTTTCTGGAACAGAGCCGGCGAGCTGACTGCAGGGTGCCGGACGGGACGGCCGGAGCCTCTTAGGATGGGAGCCCCAGAGCCGCCAGGAGGGGTGTGGCACCCCCGACAGCCTGGAATGGGGGGTGGGAGCACTCACAGGTTCCCTGGAAACTCCACGGACGGCCTCCAGCAAACCGTAACTCCGTTCTGTCGAAAGGCAGAGAACCGTAGAATTTCAGAGCAGGGAAAGCTCCGGGACGTGACCCGGCCCGATTCTGTGCGGCGGGAGGCCACGCACCGCCTCCAGAGACACAGTTCTCCAGGGAGGCCCCACCCACACGGGCGGAGGGGGCCGATCCCAGACGGGACGGGCAAGGGCTTCAACGGGCTGCCCCCCCGAGGGCTCTGGGTGGCTCTCAGACCGCCTCGGAAGCCACTGTTTTAGTCCCTGGAGCAGCTGAGGTCCACGTGCTAAAAGTCCGAAGAGTCAGGGGAGAAGCCGGTCCCGCGCCAGCCTCTCCGGCAGCGGAGGGAGGGGCTCGCGCGGTGCTGGGAGGCTCCAGTCAGGTGACCCGGCCAAGCCCAGGAAAGGGGCAGAGCTCACCTGCAGTTCCGAGCCCAAGGACCCAGTTTCATTTTTCAGGGGAGCCCCCTCCCTGCCCCGGCCGTTCCCGCAGTCCGGCGCCCGGGACTGGAGCGTGCCCGAGCCACCGGGAGGAGAGGAGCCGGGCGGCACAAGGCTGAAGGTCCCTGGCCCCACGGCGCCGAGGCCCCTGGCCCCTTCGCGCCCAGCTCCTCACTCACGCCTTCCCGACAGATCTTCCAGCCTGACTCATCTCGCCGGTACTGGAGCACCTTCTGGGCCACCGCCTCGCCTTTCTGGGCCGCCAGCGCGGGGTCCATTGCACCCAGGGCTGCCTGAGGCCACGGGTTACGGGGGTGGCAGCGCACCGTGAGGCCCAAATCCTGGACCTGGGCGGAGCGCGGAGCCACGCCCCCAGCCCCGCTCCTGCCCCCGGATTGGCCCAGGCCCTCGGGAGGACCCCGCCCTGCTCTGAGATTGGCAGGGCTGGGGATGGGACGGTTGTGCAGGACACATCACCCCAGGGCGGGTCCAGCAGGGCCGGGCTCCGCCCACACGGCTCTGGGAGGGGCCCTGGGACCCGACGGGGAAAGTGGGGGTGGGGGTGGGAGGTCACAGGGGCAGGAGACCCTGAGAGCGCCCCGTGGAAAACCAAGTATTCTTAGGAGCCAAGAAAGAAGAGGCCAATAAGGGAACTACATGTTAAAAATTAAACAAGCCAAGATCATAAAAAGGCAGATAATGATCTGAGAGAAAAACGGGAGCACTTTTTAACTGAAAGTAACTTTTCTTCGTGTACGACGTGTTCTTACAAACCAGGAGGCCACTGCGAACAGCCCGAAGGCCCGAAAGAACGCAGGAAACCCCGCGCGGGCTCACGAAGGACTCGCTCCTGCCTCCCAGCCGGGGGGGTTGCCGGCGCCGGCAGCGCGGGGCACCCCGCACCCCCGTCTCATGAGCACACGGGGAGAGGCCTGCGGACGCCCAGAGAGGACAGCCGTTTCTGCCCACGCGACTGTGGGTGCGCGTGTGACCGGGACCTGCGCACGGCCAAGCCACACAGTCACAGGGTGTCCGCTCACCCAGCGACTCCTGCCCAGACAGCCTGAGGCGGACCCTGCAACCAGAAACACCGTGGGCGTCGATGGCGCGCACAGGGCTGCAGGACCCCCGCCCGGCGGACTGTCCCGGCCCAGGTGAGCCCCGCGGCGGCCGGGGCACAGGTGCTCCCTGCTCGGGGCGTGACGGGCAGCCGGCAGGGGCAGACCATTCTAACCAAGAGCAGCTCACCCTCTGCGGCTGAGACAAGTGGTACTCGAAACTTCACTTTAAAAATCACCTTGTTTTCTAAATTCTCCTAAAGAAACCCGGCGTTCTAGGGGTGCGCTGACAGGGAGCGATATCCCCGACAGGGGCCCCGGGTCGGCCATGCACACGGCGGTGGGCCGGGCCGCCGAGCGGACAGACAGGCAGACAGGGCTCGGGTCGGAGGCCCGGCCCACGTCTCAGGGCCACCCCTTGCCGGCCGTGACCCTAGCGGGCCACTCAGACCTTGGCGTCCGCATGTGGAAAATGAGAAAGACGATAGCGCTCGCTCACGCAGCCAGCGAGCGGGTCGGAGGATCTGACCCACCACCACAAGCAGTCAGGACGGCGCGGGCACACAGCACACCACCATACGGAGCACCGCGTGTCTCTGTGCGCCCCCGAGAGACAGACAGAGAACTCGAGGGGCGCGTGTGTGTTCGCACAGACAAGCATGTATTTACAGCACTCGCCTCCAGAACCGTGCACACTGTTCGCGGGGGGCAGCAGCACGAAGGGCGTTTGCGTCTCATTGCACATCGTCGTGTACCATTTAGTTATTTTAGTTGCTAACATGCAAGGGTTTCTAAATTTAAGAAAAGCTTCCGTAAGAAAAGCAGTGTAGGATGTCTCCACGCAGCTGGGGTCGAGGCCCTGCCCCACTGGGCCGACCACAGTTTCGCTGGGGGAAAGCACTATGTATGACGAAGCAGCCGAGGGAGAGCAGGTCGCGCCCCAGAGGTGGCCTTTGTTGGGTCCTCAGGCACCGCCGACGTCTGCACGCTCATCAGGACAAGCGTGGGGCTCGCAGTTTCCAAGGAGCCTCTGCAGAGAGCGCGCCGCCCTGAGCGTGCCGCGCACCTGAAGAAGGGCGCTGGCTGTCTGCCGCGGAGGCCCGCACGCACCGGCGGCCAGGGCTGGGGCGCGCCGGGGCCCGGGCACATGCCCGTGGCCTGCTCTGCCTCCCAGGCGAAGGCAGGGCCGGGCAGGAGAGGGGCAGGCTGGGGCCCGGGCTGGGCGGCAGCTGCCCGCACGGCCGTCTCTCCGCAGTCCGCCTGTGGCTGCGGTGCGGAGCCACGGGGAGGGCTTCCGGGCTGCGTGGCCTCCACTGGCCAGGGCCCCTCCCACGAGGCCGGGAGCAGACCTCGCTCAAGTCCCAGGGGACTCGGGAGGAGGTGGACACAGGGCAGGGAGCCCAGACCACCGAGGGGACGGCCCCGTGTCCACGTGCCCCAGGCGAGGAAGCTCCGAAATGCAGACGCCGAGGAGGAACCGCGCGCGCACACCCCGCCCCCGCTCGGACAGGCGCCAGCGCGGCTGGTCTCCGGGCACGTCCGTGTTTGCTCGCCGTCCACTTGGCGACAGCCGGCTGTCACTCAGCACGTGCGACCTGCCGGCCCCTCTCCAGGCCCTGGGCCCGCACTGCACCCCTCGCCCCTCACGGGGAGGGACTGCGGTCCCCCGCTCACGGGGTGGCAAATTGAGGCGCACCCGCGGCCACGCAGCGAGGGGGCGGAGCAGCCGGGGCCCACGCCCACCTCCCATTTCACCTGTCTGCTCCTACCCTTCATTTCCTCCACGGAGACGCGGTGTGTCCCACAGCACGGGCAAAGAGAGAAGTCAAACACAGAGAGCAATCCACCACCGGACACGCGCGCGCGCGCACACACACAGAGGAACTGGACAACAGGGTTCCCGCTCGGCCCAGGGAAGTTCCTCTCTGAGACGCGACAAAGACACCCCTCTCCGAACTCGCCGCCGTTCACACGCTCGGGGCGGAGGGAGCCACCCTCGGGTCGCCAGGCTGCTCTAGTCGAGAGGAGTGCACCCCGTACAGCCGGTGGGTGGACCTGGGATGAGCCCCCAGCCCCGGGAGGAGTCTGTTCCGCAGGTGTCTTCAGCAGGATTTCCAACAGCACGGCCTGGTCCTCAGCGGCGCTGAGTCACCTCCCCACCCCTCTCCGGGCCTCCGCAGCAAGCCGGAGGAACAGGTGAAACCACAGTTACGCAAAGGCATTGGGACAGCCCGGGCATGCCCCTTCCTCTTGCCGCCACCCAGAAGAGGGCTGCCGGGGACCGAGGCGACGCTGAGCCTCCCGGGTCCGAGAAATGCGCGTCAGCGCCGAGAGCCCGGAGAGCGTTTTCCCCACTGGGCCGGCAACACTGAGGAGGCGGGGCACTGCCCCGTGCCGGCGAGGCTGCGCGAAAAGAGGGTCCGCCACCTGCAGGGAGTCTGCGCCGGGAGTCCGACGGAGGGGCGGGTGGTGAGCCCGGACACGTCGCCGCCCAGGGCCCGAGGGTTTCTGCTCTGGGAGAACCAGCACCCGCTTCCCCGGCGCTGGCGCAGGCCCAGAAACCACGTGGAGGAGACTCAGTGCCCCACGACGTGGGCTACGACGTGGTGGCAGTGGATGGCTCCCCGCCGGCGAGCGGATGGACACTGCGCGCTTCACCCGCGTGGCGCCGCACCAGGCGGCGGGAGCAGCCAGAGGGCCGGGTCTGCGCATGCCCCGCCAGACCCGCAGACGTGGGCGTGCGCCCAGTGCCTGCGGTCGGACGGCACTCTCTCGGGTGAAGCACGGGCGCTGGTCACGAATGCCGATGCGAGCACATTCACACACGTCTACACGTCACTACGCGGACCACGGACTGCACGGACGCGCGCCGCACTCCTGGGAGTGCTGCGGGGGTGGGGCCGCCTGTGAGGCCTCCTTCAACGCTGCTGCTGCCGCCGTGGCCGCTGCTAGCCCGGGCGCCGGTCCCCGGCCTTCGCACTGCCCCCAGGAGCCGGAGTGCCCCGTGAGCCGCGCTGTGGCCTGGAAGGTGGTGCGCGCTCGTCACCCTGTGTGTGCAGGGCGACCCTGGCGACCTCCCCGCCTCGCACAGACGGCGCATCTGCGGGCTGGGACGGGGCCCAGCTTCCCAGTGCGTCCCAGTGTCCCGGAGAGCCCGAAGTCACAGCCCCAGACCAAGCGTGTGGGAGAGGGGACGCTCGTCGTGGAACTCCCGGGGACACCTCCCTCACAAAAGGACATTCCACAGTATCTTCGATGTGTCTGTGACAACACGCTTCCTGTCCCCGAGGCCCTCACAGCCAGGTGGAGGAGGCGGAAACTGCGAAGGCACAGTTTGGAGTGACGGGTTGTCATGGAAACAGGAGGGGGCGCGCGCGTGGCCGACGGTGGGAGGGAGCGCGCACTGCCGCCCAAGCCCCCACGATGACACCAAAAAGGGCTCAGCCCCGAGAGGGGAGATGACCTGCAGTGGGAGCGACAGCACTGACCCTGGGGACGGTGGTCACCAGGGTCGAGGCAAAGGACTGCGGGAGGTGCTGGATCCAGGAGACGCCTGTGGCAGCCCCTCGTGTGCAGCTACCGGAACAGCCGGCTCCTGGACGCGCCCCCCCCCCCCCCGCACACTCGTGTCTCTCTCTCCACAAGGGGGGTGCGCGCCGAGCCCCCCGACGGCAGCACCTGTCAGACGCGGGAACAGATCAGGTCGTTCAGGTCCACGACCAGCTCCCGCCTCGGCTCGGCCTTCCTGCCGCCGACGCGGCCTGCCTGCCTCGGGGACGCGCCGTGTCGGCGGGAGACCTGCAGGTACTGGTCGGTGCTGCTGCTCTGCGGGTCGCTGCTGGACGCCGCCGACGCGGAGTCCGAGTCCGTGAGGGGCGGCTCGAACCTGGGCTTGACCCGGGGCCTCCCAGGGCGCAGTGGGCGTTCGAAACGCCTGGGGCGCGGCTTCCTCTGCAGGCGCACGGGCCCGACAAGGGGACCATCAAAACCGTCCTCCCAAGACGCGGGGTGCCCCCGCCCCCAGGGCTCCGGAGCCGGAGTCTGGCCCCCCGCCCCGTCGCCAGCGTGGAAGGGAGGAGCCACGCTCAGGTCCGCCAGCGAGCGCGGGTGCGCAGGCCGACGGCTCAGCTCTCCCCTCCGAGTCTCCGCGTCCTCGCTGGGCTGCGGAGGGCGAGCCCGCGGGGGCGCCCAGGACGCGGCGCAGGGCCGTGTGCTCCTGGCGCACATCTCCGCACCGTCCCCCGCGGCATCTGCCCGGAAGTGTCCTTCGGGCCAGAGTCCGGGGTGGGTCCTGTGGGAGTCACGCTCATTGACGAGATAGCACCTGGGGGCGCGGGGCCTGGGAGCACCCGGCACCGAGGCCGAGCCCCCTGGTCCACGGGGAGGAGGGCCGCCGCCCACGGAGTCTTTTCCCAGAAGCGGCGCCGAGTGAACGTCCTCGACGTGCTGTGCAAACGTCACCGGGGGGCGGGGTCTGCTCTGGGGACCGTCTCCCGGGCCTGCACATGGGCCGCGTGGGTGCCTGTGAGACAGAGGCGGTCACGCACATGTTACAGGGTGCCCGCGGGCCGCACGTCCGGGGCTCCGGGACCGCCCTGAACGGGTCTCCTCTCTGCGGCCACGGCTCGGAGCCCTGCGAGGCCAGGGGCCCCACGCGACTCCAGGGAGGGCACCGGGGGCTTCGCTAACGTGCCCCAGGAGCACACAGTGGGACTGACATCGGCGGGGCACGTGCTAGGGGCGCGCTCCTCACGCCCCGGCCACACAGCAGTCTCGTGACGATGGTCTGCCCCAGAGCCTGCTGGGGCTCGTGGCACCCCCTCCGCGCCAAGGCCCCTCCGGGACGTGCAGCTCACGTCGCGAACGGCACGATTTCAGGTTCTTCATGGCCTCCGTCACTGCATTTAAACACCTCCCCCGCCCCCTGTCCCCTGCCGTGTTTTATCTGCACTGCTGTCACAGTGTCACACAGAGACCACTTCACGCCCCGCGGCTTTGGTGGGAGCACCCGGTGGGGGCGCGGGCCCCGCGAAGCAGGTAGGGTCTGGCAGACGGGGTGCTGGGCCCAGAACTGCGGACCAGGCCAGCGACCAGGCCCCTCCCGAGAGACGGGCCCGCGGTCCGCAGACGCGCTCACCTGCGGGCGCCGTGTGCCGGACAGCTTCTGCAGGCGCCAGGAGGGGGCGAGCCGGGGCCGCCGGGCCGCGGCCGGGGACACTGGGGCGTGGGCGGGGCCAGCGTCTCCACCCGGCCACTCCTGCTGCCCCACGAGTCGAAACCGAGCAGGTGGCCGTCATTCTGGGGCGTCACCGAGCGAGCCAGGGACAGCTGGCTGCCGAGGTCACTGTCCTTTCCGAGCCTCTTGGTGCTCCCCCGCGGGGTCTGGATGCGGGCTGCGGGCGGAGGAAGCGCTGTGAGAGGCCGGGCTGCCGAGCTGCGGGGGCGCGCTCTACGGCCAGGGGCCGGCGCCCGCGCGCACACGGAACCAGGGTAGTGAACACCTCCGAAGGCACAGACGCCGGGGTGGGGCGGGGGGCGTGGGGGCGGGAAGGTGCTGCCGGGGGACCGGGCGGACCCCAGGCTTTGCAGGCGCACCACCGGGAGCCCCAGGCGCCAGAGCGGTGGTTCCCCAGCGCCGGGCTCTGGTTCTCCCAGAAACAGAGAAACGTACGGTGCAGAAATAAAGCTTCTGTGGCCGTTATGGGTTTCTGGAGACAGGTCACAGAGCATTCTGGGAAAAACCAGGTGGCCCGGACTGGAAAGCGGGCACGGGACAACCCCACTGCGCCTCCACAACCGTGACGCCGGGGTCTGTGGGGAGCTTCTGCCGGCGCCTCACGCTGCTGTCTCTACACGCCTGGCCGCCTCGGGGTCGGCCACCACGTGTGTCTGTGTGAACTCACCCTCCACCTTCTGGGCGACCTTCCTCTTCTCTTCGGACCGCGCCTAGAACACAAACGGCAATCACACGTGTGTTCGTGGGTGGCGGAAGCGCTGACAAATACGGTCCTCGGGGGAGGTGACGCGGCTGCGCTGTGCGCGCCCCCGCGGCCAGGACCGCCGCCCTCGCGCCCCGCCCCCGGGCTGGGAGCTGAGCGCAGGAACCGGGCCCCCTGCGAGCTTTGTCCCCCAAAGGTTTTATCTCCCGCCACGGGTCAGACCACCCGCATTCTACCGGGGGGGACGGGTCCGGCCCGAGACACTGGTGGCAAAGTGTGGAGGGACAGCATGGGAGGAGACACGTCTTTTCACAAGGACGCCCTCTGCCGCCCCCAGATGCCCTTCCTCTGTAAGTCTGTCTGGAATGAACTGGTCTTTCTCCGCACAAACTGATACCCGCGGGAGGCATTTTCTTTTTAAGGCTAAAGAAGTGGCAGTCTCTGGCGCGGGGTTCTGGGGTGCGGTGAAGCCAGAGAAGGGGCGGGGGGGGGGCCGCGTTCCCAGCACCGCGCGCGGCTGGGTGTGACCTCGAGGGTCCGAGCCTCCCTCGCTCGGCCCTGGTGCTGGCCCTGGGGTGGCAGTGGGGGTGGGGAGCGGGGAGGAGGGGCGACTGTGGAGGGACGGGGCGGGGGGTCTGGGCCCCCTGTGACTGTTCTGACAGTGAAGGTCGGGGGCCCAGAGGGGAGACAGGGTGAGGACCACCGGCATGGACGTGAAAAGGGTGGTCCCTGGTCCCAAGCGTGGCCGCTGGGGCCCTGTCCCTGGCCCCCCCCCCCCAACTGCCCACAGGAGAGCCCACACGCGGAGGGCCGGCCGGGCTGCAGTGGGGCTGACGGGCTTGGGCATCACAGAGCACAGGCAGCCTCGTGCCCGGGAAGGGGGGCGCCACCCCTGCGCCTGGGGGTCCTTAGAAATGACTCTGGGGGACCCGGGGAGGGAGCAGGCGTGGCCTTGCACCCTACCAGGTGGCGCGAGTCCTGTGATTTGAAAACATGAGACCTCACTACTAGTGCCCCCTGCTGGTGGGGCCTGGCATGTGGCCAGCTCACGGGCACCCACCCACACCCCACAGCCGAGACGCGATACTTGCATTCCGGATCTGCATCTTGAGCTGCTGGTTGCTGAGCTTCAGGGACCGTGCGATGCTCTGCAGGTAGTAGATGAGCATGCTAGGGCGGAACGGACAGGGCGCTCAGCGCAGCTCGGCCGCCCGTCACGCTCCCCGCTCGGCTGGGTGGCCGGGCACAGAGGACCCCAGGCTGCGTGGGGGCCAGCCCCCACCCCCTCCCCCGAGGATAGGAGGTCTCAGCAGTTCTCTGCCCGTGGCACGGGGACGGGGCTGCCTCCCTTTCCTTGCCGTGCTTTTCACAGCACCCCGCCCCCGCCCACCGGCCTGGGATCCTGCACGGGTCACAGTGGGGAGAGGGACGGAGAAGGGAGAGGCGTTTATGGTCTGCTGGGCTCGGAGCACCGCGTCCGTGAACCCGCAGCAGGCGGAAGCTGCCCAGCTGCACGGCGAGGGGCCCTCTGGGACTCCTGGAATTCCGGGGGACAGGGCGACGGGAACACCACCTGACCCCTCATGGCGGCTGCACCGAGGCTGGACGCTGCGGACGCACCGGTCGTGCTGCAGCCCCTGCCCGTCCACCATCCCTGCTCAGGCCCTCGGGCCCCTGAGTGGCCCGCACAGACTCCCTGGTCTCGTGCAGCTGCTGGGGGCAGTGCTCCCTGGTCGGCCAAACGCGAGGCACCCCCCGGGGCTGGTGGAGGCGGGAGCGGCACTCACAAGAGCAGCAGCACGGCCGGCAGGATCACCACGGGGCTGCTGACGTGCCCGACCGCAGCGCTGAACCACGCGGGGAAGTCCTTCTCGATGGTTTCGGACACGATGTCGTAAATCTTGTCTTGCCCACTGCGAGCGAGCGAGCGAGAGAGCGAGAGAGAGAGAGAGGGAGAGAGAGGGAGAGAGGGAGGGAGAACCACGGCTCCTGGTTGGCGGCGTGCACTCCCCGGAGTGGGTCACGCAGCGGGGTGCACGCCCGGACGACAGTGACACGCAGCCTCGCCGCGGCGGTGGCCCACGGGGTCAGCTGGTTGACACCCAGCAGTGCTGAAGGTGGGTCGGAGGTCACAGGGTGTGCGTGTCTTCCCACAGCGCACACGAACACGGACTCTGAATGTTCCGTAAACAGATCGAAACGGGCTCGGTGCTCCGTGGAGTTAACCCGAGGGGTTTCTGCCTCAGCGCATCACAGTGCGGAAGGAGGTCGAGGACAATCACCCAGTAAAAGCCTTCCTCGTGCTGGGACGGGGGGACTGGGCCGGGAAAAGCTCTTCCTAGCACCGGAGTGAGGCTGCCGTCCTTTCTGGCTCTGAAGGGGCTGCGCCTCTTTGAGAGGGGCGCCGAGACGGGCGCAGCGGGGGGCGGCCCGCCACCCAGGAGCGCACTGGCCCAGAGGCCCTTGCGGCTGATCTGCTCTGCGTGAGCTGGGGGGGGGGGGGGGGGGGGGGGGGGGGGCAGGGGGAAGGCGGCCCCACACCGGGGGGCGGGCGCGCGCACTCGCCTGAAGGGCCCGCAGTGCGCGGACGGCCTGTACCGGACCACGGCGAACACGGTGGGCAGCATGCAGAGGAAGAGCATGAACAGCAGCGTGGCCAGGTAGAAGTTGTTGGACCTGCAGGACGCCGGCAGCCGGGTGCTGAGCTCTCTCGAGAGGCCAGGCGCCAGCGACCCTCGCCTGGGGCGCAGACGCGGAGACCGGCCCCGCTCCGCGAACAGAGGTGGCCTCCGCCCCTGCCGTCCAGGAGGGGTCTGTCGGGGGTCCCAGGTCGCCCAGCCCAAGTGGCCCGGTCCCCCGCACGTCTGCCGGGCACCTGCCCACCTGGAACCGAGGAAGAGGCAGACCCCTGGCCGTCACCTGATGAGCTTCGTTCACGGGAAACCCTTAGAACCTCTGCTCCGCCCGCCTGGGTCCTCACCTAAGAGCTCCCTGCCCCGTCCACGCCTGGAGCTCACTGCTCGTGTCCCCGGACGGCTGGGCTGCTTCCCTTGTGACTCCTGACCCTCGCCTCCCGCCCCGCCCGCTCCCGGCTGCTCCGGGGAAGGGTCCTGCCCGATGAGTCCCCCGGGCCCAAGCAGGTGCCCGGGTCTGCGGAAGGCATGAGAGTCCGTCCCTGGGGGCCCCCTGCTAGCCCTTTCCGCCTCTGTAACGCCCCGGGGTGGACCAGGAGAGAAATGTCAGAACACACAGAACGCAGCAGTCGGGGGGTGCTACCGTGTGCAGCCCCCCCCCTCTCTCGGTGTACCCACGTCCCCCCCCACACACACCTGTGCCCACCCATCTGTACCACGCACCACACACTGTGCCCACCACCCATCTGTACCACGCACCACACACACTACGCAGTTCTCACTCCGTCACGGTCAAAACGTGCGGAACTCACCAAGAGAGACCCACATGACAATGGTCATGTCAAAATAAGATAAATGAGCTTGATGAGCCCGAATGAATGTGTTCAAAACGTGTCCTGAGTTCCTCCAGGTGAGAAAACCGCAGGAGAAAACACGCGTTGCCTGGGTGGTGGGACGCCTGGGCCCCTCCCAGAATGCCGCGGGAGGGTCCGGGGCGGGACCGCGCAGGACACCTTCTGTTGCGGGTCGGGCTGAGTGTGAACAAACTCACACCGCACGCCCCAGCTGTTGCACGCCTGGGTGTCTCCCCGCCAAAGGCGCCCAGCAGCAGGCCCAGGGAGTGCTGTGCACGCAGCCAGGAGCTGGGAACCACCCCCGCGCACGCCCTCGGCCCGGATGATGAAGACCCGGGGCCCTGTCCCCAGAGACTCGAGGGGGAGAGGCCAGACACCAGGCGCGGCTGCGTGTGCGACTCCGCCCCCGGACGGGGAGCCCGGGCGGAAGGAGGGCGCTGCGGGGTCGGCGCGGCCCTGTCGTTCCCGATCTGGGTGCGCCCCACTCCGGCGCTCCCGCCCGGCTGCGTCACCGTGGGCCCCCGAGAGAGCGCACTTCCGACGGGGTCGCTGCACCGCGGGGTTGCTGCGCCTCTTGGAGCCTGCGGGAGGGGGGGGGCGGGGCCCCAGGGCCGCCCCCCGGGGGAGGTGCACCGGGAGATGCCCCGCCGGCGGCCGGTTCCCTGGGCGACGCGGACGTACGTGGCTCTGCTCACCTGGACGCCCGGAACACCTGCTGGTGGGGCACGTTGCAGGTGAGCACCGCCCAGCTCCTCAGGTACATGAGCCCGACCAGCTTGAGGACGTTGAAGGCCGGGAGGCACGGGGAGAAGAAGGACCCCATCCTGGGCACGAGAGGGGAGCCAGTGAGGGTGCCTTCTCTGCGGTCCGCCGTGGTCCTGAGACCCGGGGGCCTGCACCCTGGGCCTAACGAACCGGGGAAGCACCCCCCCCCCGCGAGGGTCTGAGCCCCCAACCCTCCCCCTTCTGCAGGGGAGCAGCCGCCCAACTGTAAAGCACCCTCTCGGTCTTTCCCTCCGCACTTAGTGCGGAAGGGAGCGCCCTCTCCTGGCGACGAGGGGAAGAACAGACTACTGCCGCTGGGGGCAAGCTCTCCGCTTGTCCGAGCTGAGGGCTGACTTGTGACAACATTCCCCACTCGACCTCACGCGTTTCACCCCATTTCATATTTGGCAATCATGAAAGGAGAGGTAACTGCCCAAAGTCTGCAGACACGGAAGGTGGGCTGGGGAAATGAGGGGATTTCCCCGTGCAGAAAGGGGCAGATGACCTTCGGGTGACCCTCGGACGACCCTGCATCGTCCACAGCCAGAGACGTGTGGGAGGGGAGGGAAGGGCCGGCCTGCTGGCTAGCACTGGGCTGCCCCCGGGAACCGCGTTCGTTGCGGCCGTGTCCCGTAAGACTCAGCGGGAGCCCCCGCCCCCAGGAGCTGCGAGCAGAGGCGGGGAGGGGCTGCGGCACCCACCAGATCATCCCCTGGTTGTAGACCAGGTGCAGCACGTTCTCCGCGATCTTGAACTCCCCGTATTCCGGCTGCGAGGGAAGCACACACATGCTGGTGGCCCGTCACCGTGCCTCGCAGGGGGGCTCTCTGCTCTTTGCCCCCCAGGCCGGACGCCGGGACAGGCCAGGCCTGGCCACACACAGGCGCTCCCCCGGGAGACGCAGCCCCGCACTCACGAACTCGCTCTCCAGGTCCCAGCAGCAGTAGTCGCTGAGGTACCGCACGAAGAGGCCCCGGAAGAAGTCGATGAGCAGGACGCTGGCCACGGTGAAGAGCATGTCGATGACGGACAGCTTCAGCATCTCCTGCAACGCAGGTGTCCTCGGGGTCACCACACTGGGCCCCCCCCCCCGCCGCTCCCTTCAGGCCCCGGCCGTTCACTCCTGGGCACACAATGGGGCCCCGTGAGCACGGGCTCCTCGGAGTTCTGACGCCCACGGCTGGCGTGGCGCGGAGGCAGGAGGTGTCTGAGGTCCGTGGGTCTCGGCGGCAGAGCGCTCACTGGGGCCTGGGGCTCAGGGTGGGGGCTCCGAGTGAAACAGCGTGTGGACGACAGGCTGGGGCAGAGCTCGGGGCAGGGGCCTGGGTGGGGCCTGTCCTCTCTGCGTCCTCAGACAAGCCCCTGAACCTCCTGTGCCTCAGTTTCCACATCTGCGCCCATCACGATGGGGACAGCAGGGCTCTCGTGAGGCCCAAGCACTCAGAATGGGGCCCCGCCCGCAGGCAACCTGGCATGGATCTCTGATTGTTGTCGTCCTTGCCACGGAGACCCAGAGGGCCTGACGCCACCGGTGAGCCCCACTGCCCCTCCCTATGAACGAGGGACAGCGACCCGGGGGGAGGGCCGCAGGAGTGGGGGGGGGCATGGGCGTGGGAGGCCTCGTGGGAGGAGGGGCTCGAGCACCTGCCCGACGTAGGTCTCCCAGCACTGGTCCTGCGGCCCCGGGGTGTCGGCGGTGGTCTGGTTGGCCGCGGGGAGTGCCCAGGTGGGAGCCAGGACACCCGCCGAGGCCCATGTGCTGTTTTTCCCCAACCCCGGCGCCGGCCCCGGCGTGGACCACTTCTCCCCTGCAGGGGGCGTCCTGGTGGCAGAGACGGTGGTGGCGTCCGGCCAGCGGCTGGTGGTGTTTCTGGCAGCAGCTCCCTGGGGAGGGAGAGGAGGGGGGAGGAGGGAAAAGGTTGTCCCCATGTCCGTGTCCGCAGAGGGCACGAGGACATCGCTGCCCTGCTCAGGGACAGTCCCTCTCCGGACCTCCGTCCCTCTGCCTCCGTCTCCGTCTCTCCGTCTCGGCAGGAGGCCGCCACGCTAGACCCGCCCCGGTCACGGCACACGCGGAGCGGGAAGGCGCGGCACTGAGCTGCGGTCTGAGACGGTTCTGGGTGAGACGCGCTGTCTCCGCACCCTCCCAGTGCCGGTGAGCACGCGCGGGGACTCCCCTCCGCCAGCTGCAGTCGTGTTGGGGGCCCCGTCCGAGGCCCTGTCTCTACCACGTCCCAGCCTGGACGCCGCGCCCTCACTGTCCCCGCTTCCGCCTCACGCGCCGGGGCGCTCAGTGCTGGGGGGGCGCTCTTCCGCCCCCCCCCCCGCCCCGTTCTCGGAGCCGCAGCCTGCGATCGGCGGTCGGCGGCGAGCGCTGTCGACACCCTCTGCTGGCGGAGCTCAGGGCAGCGGACAGCAGGCGGGGAGCTGCAGTCCCGAGACCCACGTGCGCGCCCACCCCGGAGCGGCCACTTCCTCGCCACGCACCCGGCCTCGGTCTGTCCGCCCTGAGGGCGGGGCTGACTTTCCTCCCGCCCCCAGGAGACCTCGGCGTGCTGAGTCTTCGTGGGACGCAGGGAGAGCGACCGCGGGCAGTGACGTCGACAGTGACCACCGCCCCAGTGGGTGTCTGTCTGTCCTGCAGGGGTGTCTGTGCACACGTCTGTGCGTCTGGGTGTCCATCTGAGCACACGCAGATCTGTGTGTCCGCCTGTGTGTGTGGCGGCGGGCGGGCGCTCACCTCGGTGCTCATGCTGTTGACCTTGTCCAGCAGCGCGATGATCAGGCTGTAGAGGTTCCCCAGGTACAGCACCAGGACCCTGCGGGACAAGACCGCGGCCGCCGGTGGGTCCAGACCTGCCACGGAGCAGGAGTGGCTGCCGCCCTGGGCAAATTAAAAAGACGCAGCCTCCAGAGCCCGCCCTGCTCCCTCCGCTGAGGGCTCGGGGGCCGGGGCGCCCGCCTCCCCAGGTGGCTGCGCCGCGGCCCGCGCTGCTCGGCTCCCCGCGCGCACGCACACGGCCGGAGCAGCACGAGAGCGGGGCCTGGCCCGCGGCCCCCTGCTCGCCTTGCGATGCGCGCACAGGGGCGGCTCTGTGCTGAGTTTCGGGGCCAATGAACCGAACCCGGGCTCCCCAGGAGCGTGGCCTCCCGTCGCGGGGCAGTGAGGTGACCGGCCCCGAGGCGTTTCCCACGGGGCCCGCAGGACACCTGGCCAGCTGGAAGCGCAGCGTGGTCCTCGGGTGGTAGGTCTCCAGGGCCCCGATGAGGTCGAAGGCGGAGGGCGCGAGCATGGTCACCAGGGAGACCACCACGCTCACCTGCCGAGAGAGGGCGCCCGTGAGGCCCCGAGGGCCCCTCTGTCCTGGGCTTACTCCGCCAGAGGGCCTCCTTGGCCGCAGCACACCCCTGCGCTCCGCCCCCTGCCACCGCTGCCGGCTCTCGGCGGCCACGTTTCCTGCTGCCCCCTCCCTGCCGCCGTGGAGCAGAGCGGAGGGGGGTCAGAGTCGGGGGCCAGGCCTGGGCCGGTCCGTCTGCACTCACGGCAACCGGAGCAGGAGAGGCAGCAGGTGCGGGGCGGCGTGAGCGCGAGGAGCAGCTCTGGGTTTTTCTTCCAGAAACTCCTCTCCGCGCGCACACACACACACGCGCGCGCGCGCGCCCACATCCACGTGACCCACCTGGGTGACACGGGATGGACAGAGGTGAGGCGGGGACCACCCAGTGTGGCCTCAGACTGTGAAAAATCACCGAGCACTGAGGGGGCACCGGTGGGACCAAGTCACCCCCATGCCGCGTGCTGACACCCACGCGCCAGCCCCCTGCCGGCGCCGGCGAGGTCCCCGGGCCGCATGCGAGCCGTTTCTGCCTCTCACGCCGCCACACGGAACCGAGCTCCCGGGGCGGCAGTGCGGCCGCAGACGCTGAGAGCGACAGAGCTGTTCGCAGCCGTCCTTGGGGCGACTGTCTCCACGGTGATGGGGGGAAAGATGGGTTTTTCTTCTTCCTGAAGCCGCTGGTGAGGGGCTGGGCGGGAGGCTCTGCCCTGCGTGGGGCTCCGGAGGCGGCTGCAAGGCCCGGAGCTGGCTCAGCTGGGGCACTCGCGCCGGACCCCCACGCAGCCGGTCTGCGGTGGGGTCAGGTTCTGGGAACGTGTCAGCGAGGAAACACCACGTGAGAGACGCGGAGCCCGGGCGAGGGATTCCACGGTAGAGAACGTGCACGTGCCCGACGCTGTTTCTGCACCTGAGCCCTCTTCCCCGGCTGAGCCCGGGGCTGCCGCGCGGCCCCTGCTCCAGAGGGGACCGAGACCCCCGTGCAGAGTCTCCGGCTCACCCACCCGAGAAACGCTGGGGGAATGAGGGACGGGGTGGCCACTGCGCGGGGTACCTCGTTCTTCTCCCAGAGCGTCAGCTCCCGCTTGGACTGCTCCAGCCGCTGGGACCGGTCCACCACGAAGTAGATGAGGTAGATGCTCCCGGCCAGCGAGAGCAGCACCAGGATGTTGGCCACGACCCTCAGGCAGATGGTCACCGCCCTGCGGGGGGAGGCAGACGTGAGGACGGCACACACGCCTGGGGCCAAGGCCGCGTGGGGACAGCGTTTAGGGACACACGGGTCCTGGGGACAGTGCCCCTTCCTTCTCGGGGGCAGCCCTTCCGGGACCTCAGTCCTCCAGCTGAACGGCCCCGCCCGCACCGAGGTGGCCCTCGAGACCTGGAGAGCTCCAGGCCTGAGGAGTCAGTCACCTCGGTAGGCTCGTCAACAAAAACTGGATACTATTGTATCCTCTGACTTCACAGGAACCCACGAGTCTTCGCTTCACTTGGCGAACTCGGCCCCGGCGCTACAAACACCTCTCCCCTGATCCGCGCGGAAGGACAGTACGCCGGTCGGCTTCAAACCTGTGCCCCGTGGCCGGGCCCAGGGAGGAAGGACCCTCCCAAGTACTGGTGCGGATGAGGACGGGGTCCCCGCCCATCACGTTCCCGGGGGAGGGGTTCCGAGGGGAAAGGAGGGGTGCCCGAGGGGGTGAGGAAGGAAGACAGGATGCCTGGCAGTTTCTGCGCCAGAGTAAACCGGACTAAACCAGTCCGACCGCGCGCCCGGCTGGCAGAGCCCTGGCACGTACAGGTTCTTGCTCTTCTTCTTCTCTTGCTCCTCCAGGATGGCCTCCTGCAGGAAGGACACACACGGCGTCACCGGCAGTGGTGGTGGACCTCCGCCGGGCGCGCGTCACGGCCAGACGTGACCCGTCCACTGTCTCCCATCACGACCTCACAGTCCCGACGTCACTGCGAGACGCTGTGGGTATCAGTGCTTTGGACGGTAAGTGAGTAGAAAAACAGACTGGAGATTGGGAAGAGGAGAGACGGAGGAGTGGATGACGCAGAAATCTGAAATGGTCTAAAAAAAAGTTTTTCTCGGAAGGGGACAGCATTTAACCACCTGCCAGCTCCGTGGGGCCCGGCCTCCGAAGGCTTTGAAAACTGCGCTGACTTTCTAGGTTCACGGGCAAACCTCACACCCCCCCCACCCACGTGTGTTTACTCATTGACAAGCTTTCTACACGTGACACAGCAGCGATCCACAATGTGAGTCCTCGAAAAAGTGCAAACTGCAACTTGGGGAAGATGACATTAAAAATCAGAGAGAAGGTCTGATGTGCTCTTCCCGGCCGGGCTGGATGGTGGGCGGGTCGGGGCGTGTCTCTCCCTCCGGTCTGAGCTGCAGTCCCAGCCGAGCTCGCGGTCTGGACTCCGAGCCACGCCCCCCGCCGCCCGCCCCACCCCCACCCCCGGCCACCGGCCCGGGCCCCGCTCACCCTGATGCTGTTCACGATGGCAGCGGCCTTGCTCTCCGCGGCCTCGGGGTTCCCGATGAGGAAGTCCCAGGCGCAGAACACCCGCCAGCAGAAGGTGTAGTTCTCGCTGGAGGCGCTGGCCAGGCTCGTGCGGGAGTTCTTCGCCATCCTGCAAGAGTGGGCCCGCGGCGGGCCGCGTGAGGACGGTGTCGGGAACGGGCTCCCCACCCGGGGCTGCCGCCGTCCCCACCGAGCCTCCGCGTGAGCCGAAGCACCGGCCAGCTCATCCCACCTGCGTCCCCTCTGCTCAGTGTGGACGTGGAACTGGAAACGGCCTGTGGCTGGGTGGACGCCATCGGACAAAAGGTCCCCCCACTGCGGTGGCCAGGAGGTCACTGAAGTGTGTGGGCCCCGGGGTCCAGCCCAGCCCACCCCGCGCAGCTGTGTGTGTGCGCGCGCGCGCGCGCGATAAAACGCTTTCCTTTGGGCTAATCGGTCTCCGGGAGCCTCTGCCCGCGGAGGGCAGCGCTGCCCCTCCACCGTCCACAATCACACGAGCGGCGAGGCCCACGGCTCGGGTCCCCCCAGAGCCAGCCGGGGGCCTGGCACCGAGCAGCAGCGTCCAGCGAGCGCCGGGCCAAGCGGGCTCAGAGCCTCGCCCCGGTCCGCCTGCACGATGGGCGCGGGGGCGGCCGTACTTCACGCGGGAGACTGAAGGAGATCGCACACGTCCTACTCGGCAGGCGTTTTGAGACGCCGGGCAGCCGTACCTTTTCAAGAGGGTGACGAAGCTGTACGCGAACACGGCCACGCCCACCAGGAAGTAGGCCAGGGGCAGCCGGTAGCCGGCTCTCCCGATCCGGCGCGCGCGGCCGTAGTAGCCGTAGAAGAGGACCGAGTACTGGAGGTAGCCCTGCGGGGACACCGCGCGTCAGGCCTGGCGCCCTCCCTCGCCCCTCCCCCTCCGGACACGCGGGCTGCCGCGCCCAGCCTCACCCCCAGGGACCAGACGGTGTCCAGGTCTTGGGCGGACGCCGCCTGCGCCGCGGGGATGCTCTTGCTGGCCGTGCTCCCGAAGGGCTGGCCCGCGACGAGCTGGGGGGAGAGGAGAGGGCGGCCCGTCAGCGAGCATCTCCGGGGCGGACTCCTGCCCCGTCCTCGCCGACGGAGAGTCAGCCCCAGTGGCCAGGTCTCCTTTCCTTTCTGCCGGACCAGGGCCTGCCGGCGTCCCCCCACCCCACCCCCCGGCCACGGGAGGTGGCTTCTGTGGGTGGACCGTGGAGGCCACCGCCCGTCTCCAGGGGCTTAGGAAATGCCCCCCTCCCTTTCTTCCCCGTCCACTTTCTGGATATAAGGTTTTGCTGAGAAACAGATTTTATTTTAACAGGTGTCTGCACACTGGCCCACAGGCCAAATCCAGCCTGTCATCTCCTTTTGTCTGCGCCGTGAGCTGAGAATGGCTTTTGCTTTTTTAAGTGGTTGAAACCAAACCAAACCAAAACAAAACAATGTTTTCCAACACACAACCGCATGGAGCGGACTTTCAGAGCCTGCCCGTCAAACTGTGCTGGGACAGAGGCCCCGCCCACTTGGTGTGTGTGTGTGTGTGCGGGGCTCCAGCCGCTGGGCACCGCCTGGTGGGGGTGAGGCCGGACTCCCAGCGCACCGACGCCCCGGCCCTCGCAGAGCGAGCGTCTGCCCGGCTCAGCCCCAGGGAGACCTGGGGAGGGGGTGCAGGAGGCCGTGGGATGGCAGTGCCCCCACCGCCTTTTTAACAAGCTGCACCTTTTTCTCTAAAACAGACACACTGCGTATCTTTTGCATTGGGCATTTTGAGAATGTCAGGGATTATTCTAAGGATTCTTGTTTCCTAATTTCAAGACGTGCGATTGGCCGGACGGCCCTCACCTCCGGGACGACAATGAAAGCCCCTGTCATGACCGCGAGCGCCACGTTGATCCCGAACAGCCACCTCAGGAAGATGAAGTACGAGGCGACCCCGGACCCGAAGTGACCTGGGGAAGGACGGGAAAGAGAGCACAGGTCCCAGAAGACGCCCCCGGGGCGAGGAGCTCTCCTTGGATTTGCAACACGGCGATTTCTCTCGCTAAAACCACCGGCACCGCCCCACCCACCTTGCCCCTGACACGCTTGTGGACACGATCGATGGAGATGCCCATTAACACCTACCAGTTATGCGTGCGGGAAAACCCCTAACTGAACAGTCTCCGCAACGACACACACTCACCTAAGACACTTTCATCGAACCCACATTCCGTGTGCACTCAGAAGCACCAGCAGCTTTTGAGGATTTCATGCATCTTTGTTTTACCTAGTTTGGGGGACCTCAAGGATTTTTCGAAGGATTCTTTTTCCTTAACGTCACGATGAGTAATTCCCTCCATGTTCACACGAGGGTGAAGAGGTTATGGAAAGTCTCTTCACGACTTTTCTATGCATCTCACCTTGTTCTACAGTAAAAACCGCTTTCTGTCGAGGAGACCAGGGGCACAGAGGGGTCGGACGGGGGTGGGGGCGGTGTTCTGGCGGCTTCCAGGAGCAGGCGGACTCTTCCCGCCTGGCACTGTTTTCACACCCGGTTCCCGCTCCTCCCGGTGAGCAGGACAAGGCACAGCAAGGCCCCCCGCCCCCCGAGTGCCCCGCACCCCTTCATCACCGCCGCTCCCGCAACTAGCTCTCCGTGCGCTGGTGGTGCCCCGGCGCCGCCCCACGGGAGCGCGTTACGTTGTCCACATATCACACGCCGGTTTTTTACGGGCAGCCACGCTCTTCTATGTAAATGAATAAAAATCCATTTTATTTTCCCCTCAAATGGGTTTTCCCAAGTTGAACGTATCCCGTGAGGACGGGCTGCTCCCAGCCGTGTGTCCTCTACCCTGGCCCTCGGGGGCGCGTGGCGGCACAGGCCGGCCCCACTGTGAACTCAGGGTGGGCTCGAACACCCCTCCTGCAGCCGCTGCCCCAGAGGGCGGGGGGCCCACGTGGGACAGTGCCGGCCGAGGGGAATCCCCCGCAGAAGGGGGCAAAACCCGTGACGATGCAAAGTTTTGTGTTTTCATTTTGGAATGGCCCAATCACTCCGGTATTCAGTGACACAGCTCCTCCATCGACCCTCCGGGTTTGCGCTGTGACTAACGGATGCCCGCGACAGAGGACGGCAGAGTCTCGGTGGGACGTGGACCCTCCGTGGGGGGGTGGACACTGTGTCTCCCGCCCCTGTCCTATGTCCAGCCCGGGTCGGCACCACGGGGCCCAGTGCCCTGGCCACACGGCCTGAGGGCCGGCCTGCCCGCCCCTCCTCGCCCCCTCCCCCCGGGGCCGACTCACTCTCGATCTTCTTGATCCTCGTCTCCCAGGGAATGAAGACCGCCGCGAAGTTACAGGCCAGACGCGCGAACTTCCGCCAGAGCTGGGGGCAGGACAGAGGGACAGAGGGACTGCCTCCGTCGTCCCAGCAATGACTCTGAGCCCTGGGCCCCATGCGAGGGAGGCGCTTGCAGACACACGGGTGATGCCCTCAGTCAGGGCCCCACGTTTACACCACAACTGCTGCAAGTTCAAGGGTCGGCTGTTCTCCCCAAGAAGCACACAGCAGGCCCTGTGCCCTGACCCTGACCCTGACCTTTCGCCCTGACTCCAGCCCCACTCCCCCCGCAGCGCCACATCAGCGCACGGCCGCACAGGACCGCGCTGCAGCAGGAAGGGCCACGGAGTGACCACAGCGTGCCCAGTGACTGGGCAGAGCCAGCACGGACAGACACGCATCAGGTGCCACTCTGGCCCCGCCCGTGTCTGCCGAGGCCGGCGTGGCGGCTGCTGCTGCTGCGTGGAGCTCTGAGCTGTGTCCACGTTTGGGGGAGCCCCTCCTCCGCTCCTGACCCCAGACCCAGTCCCACGCAGCTGCCGCCCCGACGACCTGCTGACTAACCGCACACGGCTCCTCTGCCCCGCAGACACAGCCTGCCGCCCGCCGACGCCCCGACAGCTGCTCCCGGCCCCTCTCACGGGTCGCCCACGCCCCCGGTCCTGCTTCCCACTGCTCCCACGCTGCGGGCCAGAGAGGGACCAGCCCCCCCCCCATCCCGGTGCCCCGGAGCCGGTGCTCACACGCCCCCGGGGGAGGGTCTGGGTCGGGGCACTGGAGGCTCAGGGCCACCGTCACGCCCGAGTGTGGGACGCACTCGGGCGGCAGCTCGGAGACCTGAGACTGAGCCCAGGCTCCTCCTCTATTCTATGCTGTCCCCCCGGAAAAAAGTTACTTTCTTTTTGGGGGGATTTGGTTTCCTCATTTTGCAAGAAGAACGAATTCAGAACTCGGTCCACGGTGCTGGCAGTGCGCTCTAACCGTAGAGCCGTGTGAGAACCTCACCCCGGAGCCGACCGCGGCGGCACAGCTTCTGCGGGCAGACCGGTGCGGCCCGGCCGCCGCCTCCGGGGCTGCTCGCTGGGGGTCCGGCCCAGGCTCCGTGGGGAGAGCCACGGCCCCCGCCCCTCGCGCTGGTCTGGTCGGGAGAGCCCGCGGCGGCTGCGCCTGCGGGAGCCTCCGGAGGCAGAGGGGACCAGAAAGCGTGCTCTCTCGATGACCAGGGTCCCGGAAGGCGTGGGGACCGACACCACGCTTCTCTCAAGATCTGCACCCAGTCTCCGCGGCAAAGGCATCCCCAACGTGCAGAGAACAACCACGCGGCAGCAGCAGCGCGGGAAACCCCCCGTGAGGGCGGCCGGTGAGGAAGGAAGCCCAGATGCTGGTGTCCCCTGATCAGTCTGATGTGAAATTACACATTCAGTAGGGAATGACTGAAACAGGGGATTTTTAAAAAGATGCTCACTCCGTGGAGAAAGAAGGAGTCCCAGAGGGAGATATGATTTTTTGGACAGTTGTGAAAACTGTGGAATGTTTTTATCAGCAGATCAACAGACACTGAAGTTTAGTTTTAAGTAACTGCACGGGAAAAATAAGACGTGAGCCCATCAGCACTGCCTCGTGAACTGAGTGCTGGGGTGGGGCTGCGCCCCCTTGTGGCGAGAGAGACGACAGCCCGCACATGTGGGCGGGGCTGAGTCCAGAGGGCCCAGAGGTCATCCTCTCTGTGGAAGGGGCCCGCCTCTGGGCACAGGCTCGCCCAGGGTCACACAGCCGGAATGAGACGGCATCTGGGACTAAGGTCCAGGTGTGGGGTCATGCAGGTGCTCAGGCCCAGGTGCCAGCACAGGTGTCACCTGCCGAGGCCGTGGGAGGGGGGTCCCTTGGGCGCTCCTTACCTCTGCCCCTGCGGCCTGGTAGCCCCGGGTCCTGGTCAGCCTCCCTTCAAACTTCAGCACGATCTCCTTTGCCCGCCTGAGAGGAGACAGACCTGACAGTGAGCGCAGTCTTACAGCCCTGACAACCGTCACAACAGGTGTGAATGCCCAACAGGTACAGGTGGCCCGGCCACACAGGACGGATCCCGGGGAAGGTGGCGTCCTGCCAATCTCTCATCGGGTCTTTGGGGGACCGGGACACTCCCTGGGAAGGTACGTTATCAGGGATCAGACTCGGGGTCAGCAGAGGTGACCACAGCGGGGTGTGGAGCGGTGTGGTCACAGGTGTGGACTTTCCACTGTAAAGCCAGGGCTGGGGACGCCAGGTGCGGCCCAGGGGCTGCAGTTCACCCCGCTGAACGGTGTGCAGGAGAGGGAATCCCGGGAGTCCTCATCAAAAGGAAAACTTCTTGTGTGTCAACAGGAGGTGATGGGTGTTAGCGGACCCCACCGTGACGATCACTTTGTATCGTCAAACCAAACCATCACTCTGTAGGCTTTACACTTATACAGCGAGGTACGCCCATCATTTCTTAACGAAACTGGGAAAAAAAATTTTCTTTACCATTTCAATGAACTAATTCATGCAAAATGATTAACACCCAAATCAGTTACAACAACATTTCCTGAATATATTTTTACGGACTGTTTTGGGGTGTCACCGGTTCATGAAATTACACAGGCTTCACCACCTGTGTCTTGTACTGAGTGTCCACCCCCGACCCCTGTGGCCGTCACCACACTGCTGCGAATCCCTTCCAGCCCTTCCCTCCCTCCGGATGCCAGCAGGCACCCTCCGCTGGGCACCCTGCTGGCGGACACCAGCGCCTCGGCCCCTCCAGGTGACCCGGCACCCCACCTCCCGCACTCAGGCTCCAGCAGAGGGAGTCAGACCTGAGCTCAGGGAACCTGCTTCAAGGAGAGGGCAGCGCCTGCGGAACTCGGGCGCCGGAGCTGTGTGCACGCCCCCACGAGCAACCCGCCCCAGCCCCGACGAAGCACCGCCACGCTGACAGACCAGACCCCGCCGGTGAGCCGGCGGTGCCTCTGGGGGAAACGGCGGACCCTCGGACAGGGGCTGGACTCACTGCGCTGGGCGGTGCAACCGCCCCTGAGAGAACAAGGGGTCCCAGGACACAGGTCACTGCCCCCGGACAGACCGGACACCGAAGACCCTTAGAGCCGGACGCCACCGCCCTGGCGACCTCCTGGGACACGACACGGAGGGATTCTCGCTATCGGAGGTGACGACCTCCGTGTGAGTCGTCCGGTCTGTCCTCCGCCGCTTCCGCACCAGGTGGTCCCCGCCCGTCCGTCCCAGGCAGCTCCTGGCAACGCCCCCTGGTCCTCGGCCTCCCCCGAGAGGGATGAGGAACCAGCAGACCCCCCTGCCCACGTCCACAGACAGGACGGTCTCCCCCAGAGGGGACCCAACTGCACCGCGTCTGAAAGGCAGAGGCCCTCCCAGCCGCATGGCCACTCATCTCGGTTTCCCTGCGCCCGGGCTGGGGTCAGGCGCGATGGACTGTGGGGGCCTCGCAGAGCCCGCCCGCCCGCCCGCCCACAGGAGCCCTGAAGCGGCCACAGCTGGGAGGGAGCGCAAGGGTGCAGCGAGAGCCAGGACCGGGGAGTGAGCTGGGGGCCGCGGCAGCGGGGGGGGGGGGCGGCCTGGCCCGACCCGTGAGCCCACGGCACCGCCCACCGGCTCCCTGAGAGGCCCAGACGCACGCGCTGTACCGCCCCAGGCGGGCGGCCGCTGCCCTGACTCCCAGCTAGAAAGGTCCCGCTCCGTCTGGGCAGCGCCCCCCCACCCCCACAGGGCCCATCTCCAGGGTTCCGGGAGGAGCCCCGGCCAGAGCGGTTAGGAGGGTGATGCCCCGGCAGCTCGTCAGGGAGACAGAGGGGACACGTGGGGGACAAGGGCGAGGGAGCAGGTGCTCAGGGGGCGAGACGCTCTCGGAGAGCGTGACGGCGGTGGGGGCGGGCTGAGCGCCGGGGCCAGGCCTCGGCTGGGACCGCCGGCTCTGCTCTCCTGCTTCCCAAAGGCTCCGACAGCGAGTCCCTCACTCCGGTCTGCCCGCAGAGCGGAAAGGCTCAGCCCCCTGCTGTTCGGATAACCCGCCACACTCAGCACTGCGGAGCGGTTCTCAGAATTCTGGCAGCGCAAGACTGCTCTGAGAGGTGAGCTGCTCCCTCGCTCACTCCGCTGGGGCGCAGCGGGACAGAGCGCTGGGCGGGGGCCCGGGGCGCCCAGGTCTGAGCTACAGGCCCTCAGAGGCTGTGTGCCCTGGGGTGAGCCTCGAACGCTGCCCACACTCAGAGAGGGAGGGAGAGAGAGAGAGAGGGAGGAGGGGGAGAGAGGGAGGAGGGGAGAAGAGAGAGAGAGAGAGAGGAGAGAGGGAGAGAGAGAGAGAGGAGAGAGAGAGGAGGGAGGAAGAGAGAGAAAGAAAGAGAGAGAGAGGGAGAGAGAGAAGAGAGAGAGAGGAAGGAGGGGGAGAGAGAGAGAGAGAGGGAGGAGGGGGGGAGAGAGAGAGAGAGAGGAGTGAGCTGAGCTGGTGACGGGCACAGAGGCAGACTGGGAAGTTCTGAGCGTGCAAACCACGGACACGACCCCGGCCAGCTGCGCCCCTGCTCAGATGGGGAGGACAGAGCCTGGGTGGGAGTCCAGGGCAGGCCTGGCTGCGTGGCAGAGACGGGGGAGAGAGGGCTGGCCGGTGTCGAGACAGCCCCGGGGAGCAGGTGGCGCGCCTGTTTCTCCAGGAGCGGCCACTCACTCACGGGCAAAGGCAGCGCTGAATGAGCAGAGTGCTTGCTCCCGCGCTGGGAGCCCCGGGGTCGTCCTCGGGCACCGCCCGCTCCAGCGGCGGCCACCACGCACGGCACCACAGACACAGCGAGGCCGCACGCTGCCCGGGGGCTGCCTCTCACCGAAGCCCCGAGCTGCTGTCGGGGCCTGGACCTGCACAGCATGCGAAGGACTCAGCCTGAGCGCCCCCCCGAGCTCCCAACAGGGTCCGGCGGAGGGCCACCAGGGACTGCTGAGCCTTCAGGAGCGCCCCCTGCAGGCAGGAGGCGGGGGCTACTGTTCCCGTCACTTCAACTGTAAGGAGAAAGGAGCTGGCACTCAGAGAACCGAGGAAAATGGGCCCACAGCCCTCAGCTAGTGACTGGTCGCAGCGTGTTTGAATTCACGCAGCCTGTCCTCCAATCTTCAGTCCTCCACCGTGATCCCAACAGCCCCCCCACCCCCGCCAGCAGGGCTCTCACTGTCACAGCAACCCGGCTTCCCGGGGAGACCTTTCCTGCCCGAGGGGGATTTCACCGCGCAGGTGAAGTGAGCGTGTATTTTCATTTGGGTCACACGCCTGTCTTAGTGAGAGTGGTTATTTCGTTCACCTCTGGCTGCGGCGCTAAACTCAGGTGCTCGGAAAGGAGACCAAAAACCAGACGCCTCCCTCCAGCGCACACAGGCAGCCCAGACAGACGACGAGGAGGTGACCTGGGGCCCGGCCTGGCCCAGCAGGAGCAGTCGGGTCCCCAGCACCCCCCCCTTCCTCCGCGGCCCACGGGGGTCCGCGCCCGTTTCCAGGGCGGGGCGGGCGGTTCCGTGGACGCGAGCCGAGTGTGCAGTCCCCGGCAGCCCCTGCGCGGGCCTCACCTGAGCGCCCTCAGCTTCTGCCGCATGGCCCAGGGCCGGCAGCGGATGCTCGCCATGAGGTCCTTCTGGAACTGTATGCTCTGGAAGATCTGCTCCGGGTCGCTGCTGTCCCCGGCGTCGTCGGCGCTGCCGCTGCCGCCCGGGCGCGGGGCACGGAAGGACACCGGGTTAGTGGACACGTGCGGGGGGAGGGGCCGGGGGGAGGGCGGGGGGGTGACGGCTCACTGGGGTCTGGTTCTGCGGTGGGTCCGTGACAGAGAAGAGGTTTTCGGGATTAAAGGTGTTTCCAGAAGTCGCCGTGTGAGGAGAGAAAAGGGGCTCGAACAGTTCCTCACAGTGGCATCTTCGGTGGCAGAGCCATGCGTTGTTCAGGGACCCCAAAGAGTCGGCTAACCTTAGAGGCCGGACTCCTCCTCGCCCCCAAACCGTGGACGAGAAACGGGAAACCGGACTCTGTCTCCCAGAGCCCCCCCCCCACCCCGGGCTCTGCACTCCCACTGGCACTTATTGGAAATGCGACATAACCGGGGCCGGTCCCTCACAACGAGAAACAAACAACGTATGTGGGGAAACAGCTACTTTCCGGGGGAATTTTTCAACAAGGAGCAATATTTACTCCTAGTAACTACCCATGTGTCAGCCTTAAGGCAGCTTTTCGAGGCGGGGGGACGACACACGAGTGTCCTGCTCTGGCTGTTTGACCAACGATGTGCTTTCAAGAGAGCAGCAGAGAACGTGGTTCCTCTGTGTTTCTCTCTAACTTAGACTGTCCGGCTCATTCAAAGGAGAGCGTCGCCCAGGGTCTCGGGGTGCACGGGGGATTCCGCACACCTTTACAAGCATGCAGGGCATCTGATCGGCCCCCCCTCACCGGCCAGCCCGCAGCCTTTCCCTGCAGACCCCCCCGCCCCCAGGTTTATGAAGACAGAGTGCAGCTTCCCTCTCTGGACGCGGCTGATTGAGTTAACAGAAGCAGACGGAGCGTGTCTGTGGGTCTGGCCAGCGGAAGAACCAGGCTGGGAACAGACTGCCGGCCTTGGGTCCCCGGTTAAGAAGCAGGGGGAGCTGTCTCTGTCCGTGCACTCGCGGGGGCGGCCGCTGCGGCCATGCAAGGACCAGGAGGGAAGGAGCTTCTGAATGTTCTCGCTGAAGGGCCGCCAAGCAGGACGGGACCCAGTCCCCTGGCCGGATGCAGGCAAGGCTCCCCTTCCCCACTCCCTGCCCTGGCTGCCCCGCGGACGGCTGGGGGGACCCGCTCACCCGAGCAGGGACTCCTGGTACAGCTGGCTGGCATTTCTCCGGGAGCTCCTGTAGCGCTGCGAAGCCTTGGGGGGCTTCATGGGAGCCGGCGGGTCCTAGCGACCACTAGGCGTGGGCACGGTGCTGGGGGCGGGGGGCAGCAGGAAGGAGGCTTCTGGACGGGGGCCGCCGCGGCCCTGCCCTTCAGGTCTCCGAAGCAGGGCTGTGTCTGCGGCTGGAGCTGAGCAGGGGAGAAGCCGGAAGGCCAGCCGTGATTATGAACGTTGATCATGAATATGAACACGAATCATGCATATGCACGCCTAGGTGGCGGCAGCAGCGGTGACTGGCTGGAGTTCGGGCGGCTGAGGCGGCAGGCGTGGCCAGGGGACCCAGGCGTGGGCGAGGAAGCGCCTCTGAGCCCGTCTCTGCCAGGACAGGGCTCTGTGGCTCGCGAGCGCTGCACGCTGGCTGCCGTGACCGGTGTCCCCAAACACTTCGGGGGCGTGCAGAGCACAGGTTTTTTCTCCCCCAGTTTGCGGCTCGGGAACAGGGAACAGGGCTCAGGGGGAGCCGGACTCTGGGCCACACTCACACACACGGCATCGCTCCGGAAAGGCAGGGTCGAAACACTTCGTTTTCCATGTTGTCATCAGCTTTCTCTTCTCAACAAGTCGCACCTACAGAAGTGCTGGTGGAACACGACCACGGACCCTGTGTGTGCTTCCCCTGGACCCGCCCACTGCCAGCACACCTGCTGCAGCTGCACCTGCACACTTACTCCTCCCCGACGCCTCCTGAGAGCAGTCTGCAGAAAGGACACGCCACGCCCGAATGCTTCAGCAGGACCGTGACACTGAACGGACACTTCACCGTACTCTGCACTCACTCAGTGTGGCAGGACACGGAGGCCAAGGGGAACCAGGAGGCCTCCCCGAGTTCCACGGCAGGAAACGAGGAATGTGGGGGAGGGGAGGGGAGCACACAGGCACCCTGACAAGGAGCCGCCCCCTGTGAACCCGGCCCAGGCCGCCCTGGTCCTTCCTCGGGCCGGACCAGCAGCTCCCCTCCCCCCGCCCTCCCAGAACGGCACGCAGCGCCCTGGCCGCCGACAGGCCCCCACCCCCGGCCCCGCGGGGCCACCACCGTTCCGCAGGATTCTCCCCTGGGGGGGGTTCACCCCCACGTCCCGGACGGCCCCGGTCTCACGGCACACACCGCGGGGTCCCGACTCGCCCAGGAGGCGGTGTGCTTGCAGAGAAGTCACTCGCGCCGCGGCTGAGTGGGCGGTACGGCGCGGGACACTCCGAGACGCCGTTTCTGCTGTGCAGTCCGCCCCGCACCACGACCCGCCGACGCTGCGGACAGGCGAGGGCGTGAGCGGCGGGCGGGCACCGACCGCGGGGCAGAAGGGACCCCGGGGGCGGGCGCTCCGGGGGTGGGGGCGGGCTGCCTGCCTGCCTGCCTGCCTTCCTCCAGGGGCTCACTCTCAGATCCTGAGACGGCTCTGCCGCCCGCACACGCCGCTGGGCGCAGGCGAGCCCGGGCCCTGGGGCGGAGCCCTGAGGGTCGGGGGGCTGGGGGGGGGACCCAGAGAGGTGTCCAGACCCAGGGTCAAGGAGCGAGGACCACGCGGAGCCTGGCGCCAGAGCTGGCCTCGCATCAGGAGACCCGGGGCCTCTGCGGCCAGGCTGCCAGGCCTGCCCGTGACACTGGATGCAGTCTGTGCTGGTCAGATGGAGCACAGGACGCGTATGACAGGGCAGCTTCTGTTTGGGGACGGCGTCCTCCTAGAGAGCTTTACTGAAATGGACGACTTCCCAGCATCTCACGGGGGGATTTTTTCATCCTTTTTCTAAAGCTCCTCTGCCTTACTTTCAAGTATTTATTCAAATTTTGAAATACTTTATATTTATTTTATGCAATTAGTTGTTTTGAACATTTCTGTCTCTTCATTGTATGTTTGTTTGGGGGGTAGAGAGATCGCAGCAAATTCTGAGACGCTGCAGGGACCTACTAAGGCAAATTACTGCAGACCAGCTAATCCTTTTCATATGTACCCAGATGATTCTGTCTGGCAGTGCGGGTGTGATAAAATGGGTTTATCTGAAGACGTTTTCCTATTTTTACTGTCTAAACCATAAATTAACTGGGACGATTAAGGATAAGTAATGACTACTTTTGACAGGAATCAATCATCCCGTTCTTTTGCCTAATTTTAAACAAATGTAAATTCCTAAACATTTTTTATTATGAAAATAATGTGTGGTCACTAGATGGAAATAAATAGAAACAGCAGGAAAAATTAGAAACAGGAAAAACCATCTAGAACAATATTGCTTAATGAAATTAACTGTTAGTGTTTTCAGCTTTTACCAAGTCTACTTTTTTTCTTTTTTAAAAAATTTTATTATTTTTTAGAGAGGGGAAGGGAGGGATAAAGAGAGGGAGAGAAACATCAGTGTGTGGTTGCCTCTTGCACGCCCCCTACTGGGGACCTGGCCCACAACCCAGGCCTGTGCCCTGACTGGGAATTGAACCAGTGACCCTTTGGTTCACAGGTGGGCACTCTATCCACTGAGCCACACCAGCCAAAGTCTATTTTTCTTTGTACTTATACATTTTGCAATTTTCTTGCATATGTGCATTTCCCTTAACATTTCCATAAATTTTGTACCTTAGAGCAATCGCCACGCTTCTGAAACTTTTCCCGTGAACACACTCCACCAACAGGCACTGGTGGGAGAGCTTATCACACATGAAACCATGAACTGTGGCCCACATTCCACACACCCATTTTGCCCTACGATGTGCACTTTTTGCCAGTGATGTTTTTTCTGCTTTTAGAAAAAAGCATTATTTTTTTGGAATTAAGTTTTCCAGAACTGAAATTACTGGATAACTTATCATTTTAAAAAGTTAAGTATGTTGTTAAAAGAAAGTCACTCTCTTTACATGATGTTGATAAGGTGTGTTTTCACGATTCTTGCTAAAACGAGTTCTTAAAGTGATCGAACTGGGGACTGTTCACCAGGGCCACGGGCGTTCTGGGGACGGCCAGCCAGGCTGCCGACGCCGCCCGCCCACCCTCCCTGCCCCCTGGCGGGGGGACTCGGGCCAGCTTCCCCACCCCTCCCGGGCTCCGGCTCCCGCAGCTCCCAGGCCCAGACACCGGGAGGGAGGGCGGGGCGCCAGGGGACAGATCGCCGCCCCCGGGCATTTGACTTCCACCGGAGATCTGATTAGAGGCTTCGGACGCGCTGGATGTTTCGAGTTAAGCCAGGATGTGTCCACAGACAAAATGACTAAAATGCCCCAGATGCTGCCAACTGGGACATTCAAAAACACTCAGGATCTAATGGTGAAACCAGCTCAAACTATTACCTCCTCAACCAGCTGCTGAGCGGGTCTCTGCCCTGGGAGGAGGAAGGGGAGGAGGGGAGAGGAGATGCAGGGGAATCTATTTGTGTAACGTACACATTCCTTTCAGTTAAAAAAAAAGAGTAAGATTTTGTTATAAATCCCAGGAGGTTCTAACAAAAACCATCAGACGGCTCAGCTTACAGGAACGAAAACACCCATCCGTTCCCTGCGTCACCCGTTAAGGGAATTGTCTCCTGTCGCTCAGTGAGCTCTGTTCCGGCACACGGACGCCCCTGGCACGCCGGAGTCCGCCAGCAGTGCCTTGCTCCCTGTTCCTGAGGGACCGAGTCTTCAGCCTGGATTTCATGGGACAAGACTTTCCGCTTCTGAGATATGTTTACACGCCCGCTGTGCTGTTCCAGGGACTCCACCAGCTTTGTCTGAAGTTTTGAAATCCCATTGCGGGTCTGGAAAATGTTACCGGGAGAAGATGCTCAAGAATACACGGTTTCCAATTACGTCAACGAGACGCCATTTGTACAGACTCGAGAACAAATGATTCTGTTGTTGTTGCTGCTGCTGAACTCCCCCTGAAACCTCCGGCTGCAAATAGCTGGGAAGGGAGCAGGCACATGAGCAGGTGCGTCAGGGGTCCATCGGGGTCCGTGACACTCGGTCCCTCATTGGGACACTCACTGAGACAGCTGTGAGCCTGGTGACTTTGTCAGAACCTCTGCGATGGCCAGTGCTGGACCGTTATTAATAATATTTGAACTTCGCCATGAAAGCTGACTCTGAAACTCTTTCTCGGAGCTAGCGTGACCCGTGCAGAGACTCTGCCAGAAAGTCCGCTGCCTGACGCGCACTGTGCAGGCTGTCTCGCCCGGAGACACAACACAGCCTCCCAATGCCTCCCCGCTCCAGGCCGCACGCGTGCGAACCTCCTGAACAAACCGGAGTGGCAGCCCACCTCGTGCGCAGGGCTCAGCGGGCTGCTGCCTTTCCCGCAGTCACCGTGGACGAGGGGAGCGGCCAGCCGGGCCCGGGGACACGGGGTGGCTTCCCAGCGCCCCCGAGGGGACTGCTGTCGTCACTGGGCGCCGGTCCCCGCACCGCCGCAGGAGGGACGGGATCTGGTCGCTGGTCTCTTTCACGAGGTGAAGAGAGGAAGACGCGCTACCACTGGCGACGACGGCCCTGCCAGTCTGGAAACGGCGATAACGCAGACCCGGCGCGTGGGGTGGCGAGTAAAACTGGACAGCCGAACTGCTGTCCTTGGGGCATTTATGTCAGGATGCACCGCCGCCAGGGAACATTCCAGAGCAGACGGCTGTGCTCGGGTCACGGAGAACGGCAGGCACCATGGTGCGGACGCCTTGAGGGCCGACACTGGAGACCACAGCCTGGTGACACGTGTCTGGACGGATCACAGCTCAGAGCAGGGAGCGCTGGGGGCGGGGGGAGCCGCTGGGACCCCCAGGCCGCACCCTCCCACGGACCTCCCTGGGCAGCGCTGGCCAGAAGGCCTGTGTTTTTCCTTGTCGGTCTCCCCACGAGATACGTAATCCGATAAACAAACTAATCCCCCCTGGAGACTTCTGAAAGCATCCTAAATGCATTATCATTTTTCTGCATAAAGGAAGCTTAGCAAGAAAACAATCAGGGAGCAGACGCAAGTGACCTCCAAATGGCCATCAAACAGAGAAGGCCGTTACCGGAGATGCGGGAGGAAAAAACG